ATATTTTTATTAAATTTATTATACCTACAAATTTATATTTTATCCAAAAAAATAAAATATTATCATTTTTTCAGTACCACATTAAATCGTATTATAACATCAATGGAGACGGAATAAAACGAAACATTAAAATTTAAAATCGAGATGTATCTCACTACATTGCGAGCGCACCATTCTAGTATGTGTGTGTGTGTGTATATATATATATATATATCTAATCAAATGAGAACTTTGTAGTTTGTGATAAATGTGAGATTCAATGTGAACCATTCATTTGAGATATTTAAGGAAATTTTTTAAATAAGGTAATAATGTAATTTTATATATAACAACTCATTAAAAGATTTAATTAATTTTTAAAAAAATATATTTAATTAATTTACATTACCTAATATATATATATATATATATATATATATTGTCTTTTAAAGATGTTTATGGATCAAAACGTATCACGGTGATAATATTCACAATATATCACAGCGTGAATCAAAATGTATCTCCGTAGTTAAATTTATCATAATGCACATTTTCTTTATTTTCATTTTTGTATAAAGGGTATCAGAATGTGTATTTTTGTTATTTTAGTTGTTTTAGAAAAGTATCATAATATACATCTTGTGAGCGATAATATTCCAAAACCCTAAGGTTCAAATTGCAACCTATTCAAAGTGTAGGTACTTAATTGCAAATTTTGGTCAAAATGAAAGTCAATATTCTCAATATCATTTTTCAATTATTATTTTGGTCAAAAAAAGTTACTTCCGTAAATTGGTTATCAAAACGTGTTTTTTGTCAGCGATTACGTTGTATTCAAACTTTAATTTTAATCGAATTATTTAAATGGAAAATTTACATAAATAATCATTTTAAAAATAAGTTTTTATATTTTATTTACTTTGTAAAGTGATTTTTTTAAAAGGCAAATTACATGAAAAAATAACGTATTTTAATTTGATTCATATTTTGGGTAACGTATTTTCAGAACTTCAATTTTGATACCTAAGATGTAAATTTTAAACATTTAAGTATTTGGGTAACCGGTTGAAGCATTAACCGGTTACCATGTTGATGTGGTATCTAACTCAGTATTAAGATATATATGTTGATATCACTCGCCACATCAGCATGGTAAACGGTTAATGCTTCAACTAGTTATCCGAATACTTAAATATTTAAAATTTTACATCTTATGTATCAAAATGAAAATTTTGAAAGTACGTTACTCAAATAGGAATCAAGTTAAAATACATTATTTTTTTATGCAATTTATTCTTTTTAAAATAGTCATAGTTTACGTAAAAGAAATTTTCTACATAAAGTCATTTTTTACTTAAAGAAAATGCAAACTTTACATATATGTGTGTATGTACAAACCCCATACATGTGAGTGTATACATACATATATGTGTGTATGTACAAACCCCATACATGTATACATACATATATGTGTGTATGTACAAACCCCATACATATATACATGAGTGTTTATGTATATATCAACACATGTGCATAGAGATGAAACATCGTGTGTGAATAGGAGTTAAAGTGAGAAGCGTAAGAAATGACCTAAACCTTTGATCAATTTTAATCTCACCTTACCTCATGAATTGCGCTTTACCACGGGAATTGATCTGGTGTATCTAGGTGCACCACATTAGCATTAATCTTTATTTACGATTGGTTCAAGGGTAAAGATCTCTTCTTAACCTTCTCACCATAATTTTCATCCGCACTAGAACCCAACCCTGTGTGTACATACATATATGTATATAAGTATACATAAATTTATAGACTAAAGATCGTGTGAGAAAGAAAGTTACCATGAGAAACATAAGAAAAGATCTAAACTCTTGATCGCTTTTAATCGCATGTCCATCCATGAATTGCACTTTATAAAGTAATCGATCTGGTTCATTTTGGTGCACCTCATTAGTATTGACATTCAATTAGAATTGATCAAAGGGTGGAGATCTCTTCTTATGATTCTCTCCGGAATCTAACCCTAAATTTATATACCTATATATAAATACGTGTTTATATATGCATTTTTCGTATCTACATATATGACACGAAATAAAAGTACAAAAATGCAACTCTCACTTTAGTAAAAATATTATAGTTCTAGAATACCTTTAAGAACTTGCAAAAAGGTTGTTCCAAAACGTTGAAATTCAAAATTAAACCTAAAATAATGAAATTTTCTACGCATGAAAAAACTTGATTGAAGAAACACAATTTAAATTAGAAATATAATGAAAATAAAAATAAAAATAAAAATATCAAGAATAATTTAAAATCAGATTAAAGATTTGGGCCTCATGGTTGGGCCAAAGCCCATTTGCTCATGGATCAAATGTTTTAAATTTTGTATGTTTTCTTACGTTGCTTGCCATAACCCTTGTTCTATACACGAGTTGTTCAACCTAATATGCATCGATACATAAGTATTTATGTTATATACGTACGCCGTTTTGCAAAAACGGACACAAAAGCATGTGTATATAATACATATGTGTATACGTACATAATATATACCATGTGTGAATTGTGCGAAAAGGACATATCTATAAGTAAAAACTTGTACCGTAGGTTGTGTTTTAGTCACTTGTTTGTTGTATTGTACCTTATCGAGTTTTTCTGCTACTCCCTTTGAATGTTCGAGAGTGTTTCGTCCATTTTAGATGATCAGTTTCGATTTCGTGACGTTAGAAGGTTGTCGGTTAGTTACGACTTTGTTTTAAATACGTTGTTTGTAGTAATTTAAATTCAAAACAACATTTGACATCTTGATATGATGTAAACACACCTTTCTTTTGCTTCGAGAGTAGAAATGCTACGGATAAATTTAAACATCATATCATTCAATCAAATATAATATTTATATATGATAAATAAAATAAATAAACTCACACACCCTCCTCATATTCAGTGAGGTTTGAACCCTTGAACTTCTAGAAGACAAATGACTCGCATACCGCTAGAACAAAGACGTTTTAATTGAATATATTATCACTTATAAGTTATATTCTTTATATTTAGCAATACAAAGTCAAAATTACAACTTCCATCACTTATTCCTACACGCAATGGACATTCCCAACTTTCAAGTTTGCACACAATACAACTTCAATCAACATCATTTTTTTGCCCTTTCTAACCATGGTGTTTAAATTATACATATAGGGTCTCGTTTAAAAGAAAAAAAAGTAATAAACATACCATTCATCTGTACAGTATAAGTATATTGGTACAAGTAGTTTTTTGGTATGCACATGTGCATACGTGCATTGAAACTAGCAAACGTATTCAATTACTTGTATTCACATATGCATATACGTACATACATGTACAAAAACCAAGAAACAAATAACCGTCCAATTATTTGTATTCACATGTATATACAGTACAGATGAATGGTTATTAAGTGTTTCTCAATTCTTATTATTTTGAAGGTTTTTACTTGAACCTCACTCTATGCATGTATATGTAAAAGTAAATATATTTGAGTTATATTTTACTTTCAATAAATACAAAAGATAAAACAATATTTTTTGGACTGTTTAATACCCACACCGTTTCCACACCTAACGATCTCAAGTGAATCCAAAAACACAAATAAACCTCTTTTACGTTTGTTTTCTTTCCATTTTATTTTTCCTCTAATTATTTTCTTTTTTCCCAAATTCGAAATTCAACCATAAAATTGTATTTTAAAAGTATCTATACTATATTATAAAGCATTTGACAAAAACTCTTAAAAACCATTTTTTATGCACGAATTACTATTTATTGATGCATATTACTTAAAATTTAAGATTACAAGTAAATTGTGCATAAGTACAACTTATTAAAGCTCTATGTTTGAATTTGTGTAACTAACTGTGGATAAACATAATTAAATAGAGAATAAACATCTCATTTTAAAATATAAAAAATATAAAATATAAAATATAATTAAGATAATTATTAAGTCCAACAGAATACTTAATTATTATCATTATAAAAAAATATTATTAAACCTAAATTAAGTTACTTTGTTACGGTAAATTAAATTATAATAAAAATTTTGAATTAAAAAAATATATAAATAAGAACTTTTAAATAGTTAATTTGATACTAATATTAATATATTTTTTGCAAATTTTGTATGATGTTTTTAAATTTATATTTTATTTAAAAATAAAAACATTATCGTTTTCTTAAAACCACATAAAATCGTATTATATTGACATAGATAAATAATAAAACAAAACATTAAAATCGAAATATGTCTTGATGCATTGCACGAGTACCATTCTGGTGTATATATAAATAAAGATACTTATTTTTATTTAAATTACACTCAAATGTAAAGCGTCACGCAAATTCCGGTTAGTGACATTAACGGTCGTGATCACTTGACGTCTTCACCACATATATCGTTCTTCTTCCATTTTGCTTCTCAAAGCTGAGGTTCTCCATTGCTCTCTCCCTCCATGTCCGCCAATCTCATTCACCTACTACTCACTCCAAATTCATCTTTCTATTCGAGTTACTGAGCTTTTCAGGTTCGTTCTCGGCCTTCTGATCTAAATAATTTTGGATTTTTGTTCATCGTTTCTCTTTATGAAAGTTATGCTAGAATCTTTGGAGGAGATTGTGTTATTGATTCCAAACGATAGTTTAATACTTGTTACGTATTTGAAATGTTATTAAGTGATAATGGGTGAGTGAATATGCTTAATTGAGAGATCAGGAGTCATGTTAACTGATTGCCTTTTGATTTTTCGAGGAACAGTTGGTGATTGCTTAAATTCTCTATAACAAGTGTTATAAATAGGCAAATGTTGAGGTTTTGAGTATGCAGCATATTTCTTATAGATTTTGCAAAGATTGACGTGAAAAATCAAAACTGTGGTTATGTTTTGGAATGGAGGTGGAATCTGTGATAGTGTAAAGCTACTTTCAGATTGGAATTTTCATGTATAATAGGATAAACCTTTACTAGGTTTTGAAAAGAAAGTCTTGCCTTTTGTATGAGAATGTAGAAATACAAAAAAAGAAAGGGTAATTATGAGTGTGCAAATGGAATAGAATAAAGGTTAGGGTTTAATGAGTATATCACACTCCTTGTGTTTCAATTGTTGATGTACATTTTGATTTTCATGGTGGAATGTAACAGATTTAGTATCCAAACTTGATATAAAATAGAGATTTGTAAGATATATAACAATTTTTTATTATGATATTATATGTAGGCTACTGTTGACACAGTTTTTAGTCTTCCAAATGAAAATCAGATGAAGTCAATTTTGGATTTTTAAGATAGTTTTCTTACCATGAATGGAAATGTTTATCTGATTTTGGGTTTGGGTGGTAGTAATTCTAATTGAACAACATTGCAAGATGGAAATTAATGATTATTTATATAACATACAGGAAAGAGTGATCTTGTGTGTTAGAGTATGAAAGAGGGGATATAGATATATGATGGAGTGGCTTGTATCGTGTTGCCATGTCTTCTGGTTGTCGATATCTTTTCTATCTTTTAGTTTTTCATTATGATATCTGCATCTATGATGACATCTTATGGATCGTTCAATTTATAGAATGCGCTGAATTTTAATAGTTGTTTGTGTCCTGTCCTATGGAAGGTGTTCCAGTACACAAACAAAGTGGGTTGGGGTTTAGGGGTTGTTTTGAGCATTCTAGCATCACCTTCATACTTTGCTCTTAAAAACATATTTTCATCAACCTTTCTGATGTAGAAGTTTAATTTTTTTATAAATGCTAGTTAGAACTTAGGACGTTCTTCCTGCTTTGTAGTTAGTACTCCAAATGTTGATGGGAGTTTAGAGATACCGAGTATTTCCTCCTTCTGGAATAACAAAAAGAGTAGTAGTTAAGAATACATGGACAAGGTTTACTATTTTGTGTAATAGCAGTGGAGCACTAAATTTTCAAAAGTTATGTCCTATTGGCTACAGATTTGAATTGCAGCCATCTTGGGTTTATAAGACAAATACTTCTTTCTTAACCCAGGTAAAGGGACTAAAGTGATATGAATGCTTATCACCCTTAAAATTTCAAGAGGTCTTTATGAATCCATGATTTTTTTTTTTTTTTTTGCAGAATATGGTGAGTGTTCAAGCCAGTCTTCCTTGTACTTGGTTGTTAGGAGGTAAGGAGCATGTTGTGAGAGGAGGATGTCGTAACTTTCCATGCTTCAGCGACTCAGGTTTAGGTTCTTCTGGCAGTAAATCACTCCTTTTCCAGAGGCTGTACATTGTAGATGGTTCTTGTATAGGTAAACGTTGGCATCCTATTTGTTCTAGTAAGATGGATGATGATGCAAATAGAAATGACTCTGGTGATGGTATAAATGAAGACGAGCCTTCTGAAGGTGACCCTGAATCAGTAAGTTGATATTTTTGCTCCTACAAACTTAACCTGTAAGAATAATGTTGCATCAATGCATCATCTGGATATAGCCAGCCTGTTAATTGTATATGCCTTCAATTCAAAGAAAGCAACATAAAAATTGAGCTGTCTTATGAATACTGACCTTTGCCTTAAAATATACTATTTATTTGCATTATGTGTGTACTTACAATCTTCATGCTATTAAGTTGCTCCAATAGAAACATTAAGAAAGGGATGTATGTATCCTTAATATTGAGTAGGTTTAGACAAAAACATATTTCCATATGGCAGATTTCATTTGCCTAACCATGAACAACATAAGTTAGTTCTCTTCCAGCTCTTTGAAAGATCCCTGGATCTTGGTGAGCATGTATATGTCATGAATGTATCTTTTCTTGATTTTTAGTTTTCTTGTTACCATTCCTTGCTGGCCGTTAATAAAGATGAGAGTATGTATATGTACTTGCCTGCATGTATATGCATATCTTAGCTGCAAATATTAACCTTCCATTTTACAGGTTAACAATGAAATACTCAGAGAAAATCTAGAAAGAATTATCGGTGTAGATGATTCTGCTTTTTCCGGGATTGATCTGGCAACACTTATTAGGAAGAAATATGGACGATCCTATGACGTTCAACTTATAAAGAAGGTATAAGCTCCTGTATTTAACCACTAATTGTTATGATAAGTTGAAAAATAAGTCTACCAAATCTGCACAAGAGTAGCTTTATACGAGTAAAATTGAAACTATGCATATGGAAAGCATTAATCATTCTTATTCTGATAGAGTCCTAGGTTTGGAATTTATCATGTTAGGAGCTTTATTAGCGATCAGCAATCACTAACCTTTTCTAACGAACATGCATGTGCTTTTGGTGTCGGAAAAGGGGAATGAATGCTTTGTTTTTATATCACTTATACTTCAATGTTCCTTTGGCCGCTTTAGTTGAAATTTCTGCTAAACAACTTCTACTGGATCTTTGAACATGGGCTTCGTTTTGTTGGCTGTACTTTCAACAAACTAGAATAGGATTACACAATTAACGATATGATCTGTTAAATTGGTAAATAAGTATAGCTTCAGAGTTCAGATCAAAGTACTGAAAATATGAAATGGAACAGATGAAGAAAAAGGGTATCTCTTATATCAGAGAACACATATTTGTAGTCTTTCGTGCATCCATCTATTAAACATGCCAATGCACCATATTCTCTGGAAGGAAAGTAAAAAGAATGAAAACCCGGATGTAAACTATTCTCTGTTCTATTTTCCTTCGTCATCTAATGCTTCCCTTTCTCTTGTTGGTCTGCTTTTTTAGAATCATTCCTAATGACACTATTCCAATGACTTCTCCTTTTCCCTCTATTACTGCTATATAATTAAATGCACTCATGGATCCTTAGACTATTTGTTGACACTTCACTTCACATGTGAATTTTGGTTTTATATGGTACAGGAATTCATGGGTAAAAATCTCCTTGCACTGAATGTCATGTGGAAGTATATGGAGCAGGTAAGCTACTGCTTATCCTCGAAAATAATGTTCCGTCCCTTAAACGTGACTTCTGAACTGAGATAATGTTCCACAGTTATAGACCCTTAAATGTGACTCTTGCATCAATTTATAATCCAAAAATGCTGGATGATGCTTCCACATTTTGTTGTCAGCTGCCTGATGATATTCTGCTTATGGATTTTGTCTGATAGAGATCTTTTCCTCTGACTGAAGAAGAGTACTTGTTAAGGCTTGATGATGTGGCAAATACGTTGAAATGCTGGGGAGCGGTTTCTCATATTCGGAACAGCCTCGAAAAATTGAAAGAGCGTCCACGGATTGGAAAGGTATGCCTTGGGTCTTATATAACCTTGTATTCCCTCATCCAAAAATTCAAGCAATTTCCATTTTGGCTGTCCAAAAAAGTAACATTTTTTTGTTATGGTTCGATTATTTACTTAATTTTTCGTTAGCAATCATTATAAGATATCTGTGACATTGATTTTAGTATCCAAGTGTTGTCAGTTTTGTTTTATAATCAGCATATAAAATATTTGATTATTAGTCGAAGAGTTTGGTTAAATTACGTGATCACTTAATCGTTATAATTGCATTATTTTGGAGAGAACAATTATAATCAAATCTAACCCTTCAAATATAATTACAATAAAATCATCTATAGAAAAATTAACAACCAATTAAAAATATAAATTACATTAAGGGGAGGTTCGGTAAGTGCTTATTGAGCGGTTTGGGTAAACTCTGACTGAAAATGAGTGTTTGAGTAAGCGCCGACCAAGTTAGAAAGCAACCCCTTCCTTGTCGAGTCAACATCTCAGTCAACATATTTGTGTGTCAGAGTGTGTTGGTAATAGTCTCTTTTTATCTGGTAAGCACCTCTTACTCAGTAAGAGGCGGTCAGCATGCAATAAACAACCCCTAAGAAGCTCATCTAGGCATTGCCTGAGCACAAGCCATAGAAGGCTCGAGCTTGATCACGCCCATCATGATTTTGGCAGCTTTTCACGAGCTTTAATAAGCATGCTTGGCTGATTTGTGAGCTTAATCCTATAGGTGTAACAATTAACACGGTATTATTAGATCTTAAAATCATTTTCTATTAGCAACACGATACAAATGGAGTTGAATACAATATCACACAACTTAAAAACGAGCAAAGTCATCTCTGTTCATTAAACTTACGTATTGCTACAGGCAGTGAGCATCTTTATAGACATGGATGATTCCGGAGGGCGCACAAATGAATGGATATACAAGTAGATAAGATCGTAATTGAATACGCATGTCGTGATGCTTGCCATACGTGCATCCTGAAAGCCAGCCGCGCGATAAAAGGTAATGAAGGGATGCTGTCTGTATATTTTCCTCTGAATCTGTCCAGATTTCGAATTGAAGGTAAAGAAGCAATGGCAATGCTTCCTTGTAATATGATTCTGTCATATTCTTTGTAAGTAATATAATGGTCTTTCTGTCTGTTTGTCTTCTATTAAGAACTGTTTAGAATAAGATCAGAACGGACCATATATATATATATATATATATATATATATATATGATGGATTATCCAATTAAGCTATTTCTAGAAATTGATTAAAAATCAAATAAAAAGAAATGGTTGAACGCATAGCCGGCCGGAGTTTCAAACGTGAACAAGGTCAAAATAAGAGAACATGAGAACGCTCACATCACATGTGATTTTTGACTAAAAATCACATTTGCTCTTAGGTCCTAGGGCCAAGGGTGTGCACGTCCCCTAACCGAACTTGAATGGCATGTGATTTTTAATCTAAATTCACATGTGATATAGGCGTTCTTATGTTATCTTATTTTGACTATGTTCTCGTTTGAACCCAACGAATGTGTAAAACTGTCTATATGGATTAATCTGTCTGGTTACTTTTCCATTAAGTCCTGTAGGGGTAAAGCCGTTTGTGTGAACTAATATGTCGTTATAGATTGAGAAGATTTTTGTTTGGAAGGTTTTTTTTTTTTTTTCATAGATGGAAGTAACGTGTTTTTTTAATTTGGAGGGACAAGTTGGGAAAAACTTGTCATTCTGCATAAAGCTACCCCTATGCATGAGAATTGGCTCCGATCATCTGGAAACCCGGTCGGGGATAGGAATTCCCTGTTAAATCGGGTCTCGGGAACAGGGACAGGGATCCCCGTTTGGCTCAAACCGAGGATGGGGACAGGGACAGGGACAAGTATCACACTCCCCACTCCGCCTCGTATCCGCATATATATTAATTAATAAATTATATTATATATTATTTATTTCTATTAAATCGGTAAATAGTAATTTCTATTTCGATATATTTTGGATATTACTAGATGTGGTTTTGGATATTACTCAATATTTTTTGGTACATGTGACGTTAATTTTTTTTTTTAGATTAAATTTAATTTCTTTTGGTTTTCGATTTATTAATTATTGAATGATGATGTATATTTTTTGTATTAATTAAATTACTTTTGATTTTAGGTTTAGGAAAAATTACATCAAAATGGAACCAACTTTGACCTAATTTCTATTTTGATAAATAAACTTTCAAATGTATTATTTTAAGGTTTGAAACAAACTTTTCATGTTTTTAGGATCTTATTTACCTATTAAACAAATAACCAGATACCTTCAAATGACATGACAAGAAAAAAGTAATATAAAAAAACTTACATAAATATTTAAAAATCCACGTCATATATTTAAAATTACATGTCATTATTAGTTTAAAAATAATAATAAAAAACACTAAATTTAAAAATAAGAGGGAATATTGAAAATCAAATAGAAAAAACAAAAAAAATTAATCCAACCGCTTTTTTTGCACAATATCCATTCATCTTACAGCATCACCAGATTTCCTCGACCATCGTCTCCTCCGTCGTCATCCTCTTCCACCATCGCCTCCTTCGCCGTCGCCATCCTGCCATCACCTCCTCCTACTACGTCGTCTTCTTCCACCATAGCTCATCGGCTCGTTGGCCTTGTCCTCCACAAGAATGATCAAAGAAAAACAATGAATGAATTAGAATTGAAAGGTGTTTGTGGAAATGCTTCAAAGAAGAAGACAGTTGATTCACTTGTCTCAAATGAAACAAATTTGTTCTTGTGGAGGGATCTGTAGTAGGTCATAGGTGTTTATTGCTTCAATATTATTAACTTTTGGATCGTATGAGAACCCATGAACATCAGTCCGACATCTCAACTTGTAAAAATTGTAATTTGATTTCTATTTATAATTGATTTTTGCTTGAATCATAACAAACACGTACAACTTTTATAAAAAAAAGTAGCTCCAAATAACATTATGAATAGAAAAATATTTAAATTGTTTTTCAAATTTTAAAATAGGAATTAGGCTAAAGTTTTTCCATTTTGCTGCAATTTTTCCTAAGGTTTATTGAAAAAATATGAGATTTAAATATGTGTGACGTCTCATACATTTGATTTAAAAAACTTACACAAATGGAAAGAGAATCTTCGTTTCCCGGTTGGGGATCCACGTTCCCGATTAGGGACGGGAATGAGGATATGATCAAATCCGGGGACGGGGACGAAGATGGGGGATTGGGAACGGGATTGGGTCCCCACCTTATTACCATGCCTAGCGTCTCAAACAAATTATCTAAAATGAAAATCAATATTCAAACTCTTAAGAAAAAAAAAAAAATTCAACTCCAACAACTTCTCCAATCTGAAAATTACGATATCAATTATATTATTAAAATATTTCATATATTTTGTAAAATATGATTTATCTTTTCCAAATGTTTTTTTGAAGAAATATTTTCTAAACATTTAATTTCAAAGTTTCTTATTGGTAGAATACGACAAAAAATATTCCCTTTCACATAGCAGTTTTTCCTTTACAGTACTTCAAATTTAGATAATTTCATATTATCTCTATTATTTTCTCTGTTTGGTTTGTAAGATTTGTTATGGAATTTCATTTCAATCCCATGTCTGGTTTAAATAAAGTCCGGAGTTAAAATTTCAGGATTTCAATAAAATCCCATAAACATTGGATTTTGAAATCCCACGATGGCATATGTTAAAAGCATTTGTTTTATAATAAACAATTAATAAAAGATATTTTTTATTATTTTTTAATTATGTATAACATCTGTTATCTATGAATAATGAAATTCAATATCATTTCAGATGCTTTAAATTAAACACACCAACAATTTATCATTAGATTTTATCTTTGTTTACCTCGGGTTTGGCTTTGTGTTTATGAAATAAAAGAATGACCGAACAGATGAACTGTTTAACCTAAATACTCCATAAGGAAAAACCATTTTGTTTTAGATCGTTTATTTGATTTCGAAAGTTTTACACCCTTAAAGGGTGTGTTTGGTGTCCAGACAGGACATGACATGACAACTCTTTAACGTTTGGTAAGATAAAACAGAACAAAACAGAACAAGTAAAATGACAAATTTACCTCTAATGAGTTGTTAATTTTAATTAGTTTATGTAATTTATTAAATAATAATAGAATAATTATTATTTATAACAAAATATATCATTTGAAAGTTTTCGTCAAAACAATTAAAATGACACCAAATAAAAAGTTTATGTAGTTTTCATTTTTTATTTTTATCTCGTTTGTACATTATTTATCATTATTAATATATAATAAATTATATAAATTAATAAAAATACAAAAAACTGTATTAAAATAATATTTTGAAAACAGTAAAATGAAAATCTAAAAAACATAAAATTTAATAAGTAAAAATTTAAATGAATAAATAAAATGTAAAAATGAGACATATTTGATGTTTTAAAAAAAAAAATTTATTTTAAGGTTATATTAGTAAAATATAAATATGTTCCAATTTATTTAACCCTATTTCATGGAGTAGAAATGGAACAAGTCTGTTCCAGTTTATTTCATTCTATTCCCATAAAATTTATACCAAACAAACAAAGATTCTTATCCTGTCATATTCTGTCTAAGGGGCTGTTTGGCAGTTGCTGAATGATTTAGTGCAGAATGATTAAGTGGTCAGAATGGTTAAGAGGGTCAGAATGGTTAAGTGCTGAATGAAATATGGTTGTTTGGTAAATGTTTTCTGAATGACAACAAATTACCATTTTACCCCTCTTCTCATTGCCTCTACTCTTTCATTCAAACAGCCCTAATCCACCAAACAGCCCTAATCCACCAACGATCAAATCGACCAATTCAAACAGCCGGTTCATTCAAACAGCCCTAATCCACCAACGATCAAATCGATTATCTAATTCAAACARCCCTAAGTTCATTCAAACARCCCTAATCCACCAACGATCAAATCGATTATCTCATTCAAACARCCCTAWGTTCATCGACATTGTGATTGCAGAGAGAAGGAAAAAGGAGACAGAAGGGAAATACCTGAAATCGAGTGAGAGACGATGTAGAAGACAACAGAGACGATGGAGAAGACGCTGGAGAACACGATCGAGTGGGAGGAGAGAGCGGCGGGAAGCAGTAGGGGCGGCGAATGGAAGACCGACAATGGGAGGGGGAAGACCGACGATGGGAGGGGGAAGACCAGCGAATGGAGACGGCCGGCGACTGAAACCATGGAGGGGGGATGCGATGTGAAGAATGGCTTGAGAGGGCAGAGTTGGAAAAATCAACATCTGAATGGTTTAGTGAGGTAGTAGATGCAAAATGGTTAAGAGGTTATTGTAATCATTAAGAGGTTTTTTTTTTTTGCCAAACGGTCTTAACATCTTACCGATTAAGAGGTTGGCTCTTAATGTAACCATTAAGAGGTTGGCTTTTAATGTAACCATTAAGAGCCAAACAAACAGCCCCTAATATACCAAACTCACCTTCAACATGCATTCGATTCGATTCAATTCGGGTCGGGTCGGTTACAGGTCAGGTCACAAACGACTGCTCCTTTACGCCCTCGATATTGGCGGGCCACCAATCGGCAAAAAACGACGCGGCCGAGCTCCTCTCTCCGCCACCGCTATCGTCCACCGGCACACGGCAGTGAAACGGGAAGCCTCTACTAGTTCTTCTTCACAACGCCAATTCTAGTGGTTTAAGTACGAGAAAGAAAACCCTATTTCTCTACCTCCCTTCTGTTCGAATACTTCTTCCTTACAATCAGGTTCTGGGAAAAGCAAACTGATATGATTAATGGTCGAGATCATCATGATGCATCATCACCAGCAGCAGACAACTGCCATTCCAACGGCTCCTATCAGTTCTCCTCTTCCCTCTTCTTCCTCTATTAGATCATCACATACGACGACCACCACCACCGCCACCAATAACAGCACGCAGCAGCAACAGCTCCCTTCGCCGATCTCTCTTGCGGGACATGTTGTTACGCCGATTTCCGCTGCTCATCCTACAGGGGAGCCCGCCGTGATCATGCCCACCTCCTTGCCACTGGCGAGAGTAAGGCTCTCGGACCTAGTCCCTTACGACGGGGCGCCTACGGATTCTTATTTGAGAGCGGTGGAGGCCTTATCTGGTTCGCTTACAAGACACAACGCGGCGGTGATTGAACTTGGAACAGAAGATGGAGCGTTGATGAGGTGTGGGTTGGAATCGGCCAGATTGTATTTTAGAACCAGGGCTGGTGGTAATTGGAGTAGCAGTAATGGTGGTAGTGGGGTTTATAAGTATAGGGCAGGAAGGTATGTGTTTTCTCTATTCATATCCTTCTTCATACGAGCCTGGAAATGCTTGGATTCTTTTATGCTTTGTAGCAAGTTTCTCATAATTTATCCATCTGGAATAGTAGATCGTAGAAATTAGGAAATTGAGGTTCAGCTTATGATCTGGAATAGTATATTGTAGGAAGTTCCTTGCATCAAAAACTCTGGTTATCTGGTTAGCCATTGATCCTGCTAGTGCATATTACTGACTGCTGCATGTTGTTCTTGTAACATTGTATAAATGAATGGATTTGCATTTAAAGCTTCTGTCATACGAACGGCTGATAATGGCACTAAAATTTGGAAACACCTTGGGTGCTGATTGTCATTTTTCTGCGTCATTCATAGTTACCTTGATCTGTACCTTCATAGTCTAAGTAGCATGGACGCTTGGCACCCTTTTCAGGGATGCCTTTATAATGGTAGTATTATAGGTATGACAAATATCAACTGACTCTCTCAATTTAAGCAGGAAGATTCCATGTTGTGAGTTGCTTAGCTTATTACTAGTACTTACTACTACTATGAGTATTGTTTTAAATCAGTGAAGTACTGCTATGGTATTTGTGAGTTGGTGCTGTTGCAGTTGTACAGACACATACATTGTCACTGCTTATTTGAGATATCTTGTTTTGAGATTTTCTATGCAGTGTGGGTAAGAAACACTTTTGATAGGAAGGCAAATATCATGGTGTATGTAGGAGGATTGAGGTGTTTTAGTTCACCATCAGGGTTACATGACATGATGACATTGTGGTTTGTGACGCAGTGACCATCTTTTGAGTTTCTTTGTTTTCACTTTTTCTTACCCTGATTTAGCTTTTTGCGGGGTATTTGAAAGGTGTATGTTTTACACTATTTCTTTCTATTCTGACAGGTGTTTTCAGGAAAGTTTCTGATAAATAATTTGTAAATGGTAGCAAGTGAAGCTTGTTGGTTTCATTTCATTATGCTGGAAAAATAAATATTCTATAGATATATTTTATTCAATAGATAGCCTGGGAACACAGAGAGTACAAATGTGGACTGTGTCCCGAGATAATGTAAACAACAAGAAACCCTACATAAACAAAATACATAGACTATGCTAGTATGCTCTATATCTAACAAATACAAAACAACATGCAAGAAGAAAGATCACAAACTGCTGAAGTTGGTTATGGGACTTTGACAAAGAGCACAGACAAGACTGGAAAAGTATGGTTTTGCTGGTTCGTGCTTTGATTTTGATGGGTTTGCATCAAGGAAGGACTGTTAAATGGACATGAGACCCAGCAGGGATAATTTATTATGTTCTTTGTAAATGCTGTCTTATTGGAAATAGAAAGGTTATGGGGATTCATATAAAGTGCTCATGTTATGATAACAATCCAATCCATATCACGTTTCTGTCTTATAGAGGCATGTTTGTAGTACATGTAGAGATATGCTGTCATTGATGCTGTCTAGCTAGCTTTGATTTCTTTTTTCATGTTAGTTGTAACCTTCCGTTACTCATCCAAGTGTATTTATATGGCACGTTTGGATGTTATAAGAATGTCATGTGACAGGGCTTTAGAAGATACGGATTCATCTCCACCATGCATGGCAGATGTTTTCAGATGCATGGGAAAGGCTGCTCGTGCTGCTTTATCTGCAATGGCTAGGCACCTTCGTTTACGAAGCGAGTAAGAAAGATTATCATGGGCTCAAGTATTCTTTTATTGCGTTTGAGGATCTCTTCATCTGTTCTCTGTTTATCTTTAATGTTCATACATTTCACTGATATATGCTTAAACTTGCACTTAATTCAGCGTTTTTAATCATTTACTTGATGACAACCCCTTACCTGCTATTGAGGCATCATCATCAGTACTTGTTGCATCTTACTCGCACACGTCATCACAAAAGGGAAAAGGTGCTATTGGTGGAGGGAACGTAACAACAAACCATGAAAGTGAAAAGGGATTGTTGACATTGGTTAGTTCAGACGCCCCTGGTCTGCAGGTATATTTTCATCAGATTATCTTATATTGTTAGCATGTGATTTTGACTTTTATATCAGCTTATAAAATTTTATTTCTTTGGAAGGCTGTCTATCCGCTCTTGTATCTTTGTTATGATTTACTGTGATGAATTATGACCCCTTATGCTAAGAAAGCAATTATGATTACTTTATGTTGTATGACTGTCAGTTCTTTGAATCATTTCCCTTCAGTAGTTTTACTTCTCTCCCTAGGTTCGTGATCCCAATGGTCGTTGGTACCTAGCAGATGTTGGTTCAGCTCCTGGCGACCTTTTACTATTGACAGGGAAGGCACTCAGCCATGCCACTGCCGRACTTCGCCCAGCTGCTTCYTATATGGCTGCAACTGATCACTCTCCTGCCACTGCTAATACTGGACGGTAGATCAAATTGATRTTGAAGCATAATATTGTKATTGGAAATTGATTTTCTGGTTTTGATTGTCATTTAACCTTTTCAAATAACTTCTCTGTATTGTAGATCATCACTGGCATTTAGGCTCATGCCACAAGGCAATGCTATATTAGACTGTTCTCCGATTAGAACAGCTGGTCATGTCATCCCTCAGAGCTATGTACCAATCTCTGTAAGCCAGTTTATGGATGATCTTTCTGCTGATGAAGACGCACCTTGTAACGGCTCTGATAATGTTTTTGTAAGCCAAACTTACTTAAAAATGATCTAATATGTTCAACTCTATGCCTATGTGCCAGTTTCATATTTATGTATCAGCTTAGCATCAGTATTATAGAATGTGTCTGTCCCYCTTAACTTGTTTCCAGTTTTGCTAACTTTGAGCATCTAAATTTGTTATACAGAAGTACCTCTAAAACTGGTTTTTTATTTGTATGGTCTCATATTCTTAAGWKYTTACAACTGAATACAACAAAACCTGAAAGTACTTAAGATAGAAACAGAAACAAAAGCTGGCCCATGTTGAAGGACACTCTAAACAAGTTGCATGTCTTCCAGTGTCTGCCTCTCCTATGTAGAGCCAAATTCTATGTTAATCCCACTTCAGTAAGTACTTTTCTACTGCTTCTATCCACATATGGTCTTGCCTAACCCTATTATGTGTTTGTGTATATACGTTTAAATTTATATCGATCTACATGTGTATATGCGTGTATATACTGTGACATATTCTGCTCCTTTTTATATTTCTTTAACAAAAAAAAAAACTGGTGGATGTGGATGTGAAAGCTTTATGTTCATCATTGTAATAGATTGAATTGTCTAAAACCTTTTTCTCAATAATACTATGGCAGATGGTTTGTCGGACTAATTTACATTTTAAAAGTTTAGATTGTTAAGTTTTTGGGTAGCAAGTTCTTTATTAGTAAAAGTTTACATGATAATTCTTCTGGTGTGTCTGGTAATTATCTGTAATTTGGCTATCAATCTGTTAAAAATGAATAGGCCTCACAGTGGGATCTGAATTGACAGGCAGCTTGGAAAAACTCGAATAAAGAACCATCACTGAGAAGCGTTCTCTCTGATTCATTGTCGTAAGTTGTTCATTCTTTGTATGTTTGCGCTGTGGCTTTATTGCTATTTTACCTCAACCAAGGAGGTTCTTTATTCCTTTGAACCATGATGCTAGCATACACGGTGGCCACAGCATGTGAGTAGCGTAATTTAGCTGAAAATTTGCAAAATGTACATGAAGTCTAACACTTAGATATACTTAACCCATGAAGTACAAAAGATGGTAGCAATTACCCTATAAAAATAGTCCCTTGGTATTTACCTTGCTTCCAGCCCAAATCCACCAGACAGACATATGTGGGTCATATGCTCGCCATTTTGTGGTTCTGTTTACACTTTCTACTCATTTATTTTCATTATATTAAAATGAGATATGAAGAAATAGACTAAGAAATGGAAAAAAAAATATTAACATTATATCTTTGAAAAATGTGATGGTTTCGTTTTAGCCTACCCCAACTAGTTTGGGATAGGTTTTTTGTATAAATTTGAAGGGAACAAGTTAGTTTGTGTAGAGGAGCCTCGACGTTCTGAAATGTTCATCTTTCACCCCTAACAGGTATAGGGTAGCTTCCTCCCACCAGTTACTTTTCATCCAGAAAGTGAACATATTGCATTGTGAGGTCAGAACATTGCTAGAAAAGTAATATTTAGGTTGCCAACTTAAAGATAAGATGATGGGCGTGTGGGCCATATCGGTCTTCTTCCTGTAAATAAATCACTGTTGAGGTTTATGGATCGATCGATACATAGTATGGCTTCTGGGTTATCCTATTTCTGGTGTAGTTTTCATATAGCCAAACTACTGCCCCTTCTTTGAGGGACTACATATTACATGTTCTCTTACACTTGGCCTATTAGGAATCACAAACTTCCAACTTGGACAGTATGGCATTTGAATTATACCTTCCATTGTAGTTTTCATACAAGCTACCTATTGCATGTTCTTTGAGGTGTAACTTTTACACACTTGCTCATAATTACACAATTAGGGATCAGAAAACTTGCATCATTAAACTTTATAGTTTGCTTTCTGAAAGAAAAAAACCCTTAGGTGCATCCGATACCTAAAGGTTTTGAAGGTCATACAATTGTATTATTTACCTGGTCAGCCAGATGAATACTGGCTTAAAATTGCAAGCTACACAAATTATTCCAGAGACCCAGTTAATGTATGACCGAAGACCAAGTTGTATCTACCTTTGCCACATGAAATATTGTTTGGTAGAGCATTTTTGCTTCTTGATAACACAACTAGCTGCATTTAGGAATGTGATACTTGACTGTTAATAATTAGAGGGCTGCTTCTACTTCTCTAATTGCGATCATTTTTATGATAATTATATACACTTTCATTGTAAGAACTGGTGATCCAACTTGATTAGAGTTTGCTTCATTTCATTTGGCCTCACACATGCTTATTACAACTATCAAGTTTTGCAAGATGTATGGATTCTAATGCAATTTGGCAATGCTTTAGTGGCTCATTCCTCGAAGATGCTATGCTAGTTCCATGTGGGCATTCGTTTGGTGGCCTGATGCTTAAGAGGGTCATAGAGACGGTAGGTGAAAGAATGCTTTTTTCTATATTGATACTAAATGGCAATATAAAATGTGGATTATGATTGTGTTTTGTGACAATAAATTTCTGAATTTGCAATTAATAGCTTGTTTGAGAGATTGGTGAGCATTGAGAGCATAACTAAACAAAGGTCCTTTTGGGAGTGCTTGAAAGCAGTATTAGAAAATGAGTGTTTGGTAATCCTAATATTAATTTTCCAAAGTGGCTTTAAAGCCAAAAATAGGTCAAAAAGGCAGAAGTGCACCTTGATGTTTGTTTGCTTAATGAGTACATTTTGAGAAAACTACAATGGCCAATAAGACTTCTGTGATTTTGTCAATGTATGTGCTTATTGTAATTTTATGTTTTGACTACTATACTTCCCAACATTTCCTTGTGAACTCTTAATCTTGTTTTGACGTTTCTGTCCCTCTGTTCTACTTTTTCTTTCTTTTTCATATTTTACCATTACTTTTGTAGTTTTGCAAAATGATGGCCTCTTCAGTTTCGCTCAATTAAGCATTGCATCTTAAAGAAAATTCAGTTTCAGATTATGGTGGACTATATATTTTTATATAATTTGGAAAAGTGAGGTTTAATGTGAATATGTTTGTTTTGAAATATGCATGAATGATCATAGCAATTAAATCATGGATAACCATTTTGCTTATTTTTCATTAAGTGCATTGTTCATTTCACCAGACACCCTATATGTTTTCAGTTTTCTCCTGTTCATAAAGGACTCTTTTATTTGGATACTTAAATTAATGTGTGTTTACAATGGTTTTCAAGCAATCCCGAAAGGCCGAAGCCTAAGTGAGAACAATGTAGAGAGGGGCTTTTGTAGAATAATGGGACTAGCCTGTCTGTGCATCTAGCTCGTTTGTTATCTTGTTGCCTTTAACTTGTGTTTAGTATTGCTTCCTGACAATGATTTCTGTTTGACATTTATAAGTTCCAATATTAATCACTGTTCTTGCTTTGTCTGATGGAGATCTTTTAGTTCTTGTTTCATCCATTGGAAGTCACATTAGCCAAAATATCTCTACGACACTACTGATGCTCACCAAAAAAATCATTCAAGTATCTCTCCTGCTTCTGTTTGGAATGTTTCCAATTATCATATAGTCATGAAAAAGAATGTTGGGTTATTCTGCTTCTAAGTTAACATTCAAACTAGTATTGAGCATAGGCCATAACAACTTTGCATTTCATTTTTCATCTCATAGATCTTCCTTTCAGGAGGGAAAGAATAGTTTCATGTGCATGGTTATAAAGGTGAGGTTCTGATTGTTAGACCCTCCATAGAAACTCATCCCTTTGATTGTCATCTGTGATTATCTCACCACCCCCCTGTAGCCGTATCCAGAGAAAGCATTTATGCAATGCAAAAGCATCCAAGTGTTCCTGTTAATCCCCATTTTTGGTCTTCCTTTGCGTTCACCATCACCTATTAAATCAGTTACTTTTTCCTGATAAATGCACTATAGGTTTTTATTTTACATGTCAGATTGTATTTACATCTAGGTAGGATTTGGAATGACGAGCCCATTTTTACATCACAGGGAAGATGTACCATCTGCGATGCTGAATTTGGGACTGGATCTCTAATACCAAATCATGGTAATGTACAGTTCATTTCTATGTTTTTCTTTCTTATCCGCCCCCACAGAAAAAAGTAATGACTTGTATTATGTGAAATATTTATGCTTCCTTACCTTCATTGCTGCTAACTCCTGGTTTGATTCTGATTTATGTCATCAACAGCTTTGAGAGCTGCAGCTGCAGCTGTTAAGCGTGAGGATGATCGAAGGCTTTTTCACAATGCTGCTATGCGTAAACAAAGAAGAGAAGTTGGTGACCGCTGGGTATGTCTTATACAGATGCATAAAACGATGGCACTATATTCCTTAGTTTCTAAAAATGAGGATAAAGGCTGAACAAATTTAGTTGCAGACACAGGCACAGGCATTAATTTTAGATTGGAGCATTAGTATGTGAGATAAAGTTACCAGTGACTATCTATAGGAATGAAATGGTTCTCATGAGTATGCAAATAGTGGCTATAGATTGCCCTGTGATGGTACCAGCTTTATTGGGTTTTCCCTTTCGTTCCTTAATGACTTGGAATTAATTGTGGTACGTTGAACCTATAAGATTTAACTCCTATCCTTAACAAACTAATGGCCATTGAGATGATGGTAATAACCTACCTATTGCCTTGTAACATGGAGATGCGCATGAAAATTGATGAAAATATTGAGCTAACTAGAGTCTGTTTGCTATATGTGGTAGTTACTGGAATCATAATGGACTTACAACCTGAACTCTACAATTTGTTAAGTGAACACAATCTAGTTCTTACATAAATACATGCATGCAAAATATTTGTAAGAGTACTTACTGGGTAAGAGTCTTCTCCCTCACAGCATACGATTCTCAGTTCTTGCTATGCCTCTTGCCGGGTAAGATTCTTGGTCCTTGACATGCTCACCGGTAAGGTAACTGCCACCCAGTAAGCACTTACCCTGTAAGCGTTTGGTGAACGGCCCCGTAGAGTTTCAACTTACCCTGTTTTATCCATATCATGTATGTGCGTTGGAGCTTCATGGATGTTATGGGACAACTTGAACAAATCAAATTTAGAATATATGAAATAATTTGTGAATGTATGCAGTAACTGTGTTAGTAGTAGCTTGTTGCACATTGAAATAAAACTTGTTCTATTATTTTTGATATTCTAAGTAGCATATGCATGTCTTTCAATGGAATTATGAGCCTAATTAATATGATCCATGAACAATTCAGGTAAATGGGGATGTTACTTCTGAAAATGGGACCAATAGATGTGTACAGTATCCATTTTCTGTAAATGAGAAGGTTGTTATTAAGGTGAGTATATGATCTTTCGACTTTGTGATTAATACATCTAGCTGTAGAAATGTTTGGTTAAAGGGAAATGATGTGCAGGGAAACAGGAGGACGCCCGATAAATTTGTTGGGAAAGAAGCCATCATTACATCACAATCTCTTAATGGCTGGTCAGTAGAATATAATACAATTTGTCGTTTGAACCTTTGCATTTTCTGTCTAGCATATAGTCCTGCTAATGTTACATCTTTATCAGAACAAGTGAACAACTTTAGTATGTTGATTTCTCTCCGCGTTGTTCTCATAACTTGCATAATGACCTGCGCTTCATGTCGTAGATATCCTTTTTTAAAGGTTGAAGGATATTTGTTGGATAAGTGAACAAGTGGAAAGGCTGGAGGGAGATTTTAGTCTCCCCATTGGTATTAAATACCCCCTTAGGTGTTTTTTTTCATGGATTTTGGAGGAATTGGAAGGAATTGGTTTTGACCAAATTCCACCCTCTTGTTTGTTCAAGTTTTTGAGGATGGGAATCTATAAAATCCTTTGAATTCCACCAACCTCCTGATTTGGTCATTCATTGAAGTTGAGGAAGGATTTCAGATGCATTTAATTGGAATCCAACAAATTTCGTTCCAATTCCTTGGATGGATACCAATTCCACCAAATTTCGTTCTATGAATTCCAAAACCCCAGTTAGTCAAATTTCTTTGATGGTTCCAATTCCACCAAATTCCGTTCTGTGAATTCCAAAAGCCCCCATAGTCTCTCTATTGCTGCTGGACTTGCATATCAACTACTTTCACATGTACATGTTTCTTCTTAGTGCTGTTGTAAGGAATGTTGCATTCAACTGCACCTCTGTTTCTGGTAAGTGGGATAGGACAGGACGGAGCAAAAAATTGTTGCTCATGTTTGGTGCGACATTAAGATCGGGACATGACAGGTATTTTTGTCCATCCAAATAGGTGTAAAAAAATCAAGGAGATAGGACAAATTTGGTAAATTACCAAGCACCCTTGTTAAGTTAAAACCCTAAAACCATGCACAATTATTTCACACACCTACCTCACTCTCGCCTGTCCACTTTTGTCCAGTCCTATCTGCGTACCAAACGCATCCTGCCCTGCACTTGTTGATTTAACCTTTATCAACTAACCAACCTTGAAGAAATTACAACCAAATGCTTAAACTGCATTTCTGATTGTCCCTTTGGTCCTTGATTTATTTGTTGATATTATTTGATAGGTACCTCGTAAATATTATTGAAAGTGGGGAGAAGGTTCGGTTACAATACCGATCTTTCAGAAAGATCCCAAATTCTCCATCCGGGCCGGTTGACAACAGTTGATGGACACAAGCCAGTTCTTTCAGAAAGATGCGAAATTCTCCATCTAGGCCAGTTGACGACGGTTAATGACACGGACACAAAATGTGGAATCTTATGCAGTGGCTTGGTTGGTCCTGGAAAACAGTCTTTACTTGACTTCTGATTGTCAAGTGAGTTGATTTTAATAGTGAAATTGTTAATTGATAGCCAAAGATGTTGGGTAGAAGCATTTATGAATCAAGATTTGACGTTATGGGATGGATGATGATATACATGTTTTTACGTTCAAGAATGTATGTATATATGAAGTACACACATTTCTCCCACTCAAAAGCTTGCTCCTTTGATTATACAAAACGGCTTCATATACACAGGGCTTATACAGTGTTCTAATCAAATTTACAAACTAGTTTTTATATGTGTTATTTCACATGTGAAACAGCACATCAATATGTGTGAAAATCCCAAGTTTATACAGTGTTTCACATGTGAAACATTTGATACCATTTTGTGTTTGAAAAAAAACAATCTTGAATGTTTCTAAAGTAACATTGTATAAGCACTGAGTTAGTTTTCACGTATATTGTTTCATATATAGAACAATACATGATATGAGCTGTATAAATGCCATGAAATAAGTCATTACAAGATGCTGCTGATTGGAGGAGTAGAAAACACGAAAATATGCAAACATTTTAGTTCATTTTTATTAACCTGGATGTTCAACCCGCTATACGAGCCGACTAATCCCAGGACGACCACCTATTTTGTAGATAGCCCAGAGTCACTGCATTTGAACCTCCGTAGCCACAATTTTTTTTTATTTCTTCTTGGATTTGAAGTCAAAAGCCTACAATATTTTGGGAGATACTTACATTAAATCATTAAATAAGACTACAAGAGTCGATACACGCTTACCAATAAGTGCAACACTTGTTACACTTTCACTTTAACTTGAAGGGTTAATTTTAGTACATTAAACAGATATCATTTGCAATATTTTTTTCCGGTAAACACTTACCGGTTATGAATCTGTCATTCTCATTTACCAGGTAATACTCTCGGTCCTTGTCATAACTCTTTCCGAGCAAGATTTTTAACCATTTTCATGTTCTTCAGATAAGATTTTTACTTGGTAAGCATTCGAAAAAAAGAACCCCTAATCTTAAAACATGTATTACTTAAATTTCTATTCAGATATTCAAACCCATACAAATTTGCACGCCCTTTCAACAAACGACCACGTTTTCGGAACAATACACTAGCGATTTTGTGTGATTGTATGTAATAATCCCATCTAATCATCTACACGTATTCACACTTACAATGGACCCACCCATCTTACCAAACATCTAAATGTCTAGACGGCCGTTACGCGTTTTCAAGACAGTGCGAAACATACCGTTAACTCCGTTAGTCAACGCGTCTATACCATCTGAGAACTTCTTCGCCGCCGTTCCCAGCTCTTTCACTCCGTCCTCCAAACGAACCCTATCGTCGACGTTATCTCCGCCGTCAGAGACAACGACCTGGAGAAGATCGCGTACTACCACCGCTTGGCTTGTCACGTTGCCAAGCTCCAAAAGCCCATTTTGCTTCGGCTTTATCAGGTCAAAGATTCGAGTCCGCACGCCGTTGACTGAGTCGGCCCAGAGGAACTCAGCCGGAACTCTGAGTTCAATGACATCGAAATCTCCGTACAGCACAGCAACGAAAACGCTTCCGACGAAAACAGTCAAGACTCCGAGAGCGTAGAACGTACGACGGATCAGATCTCTTCCGCTACTTGTCTTGCTACGTGGCAGCAGCTTAACGAGCAGTACTGCGAGTTCCTCCATCAAATCCTTCGCGCGGCGACCTTTCTCCTTGGCAGATTCTTGTGAATCGTTAAGCAATCTACCGAGAGCATCCTTTGCCTTGTTCAATTTCTCAGGCGAAGGAATCTGATCGGTAAAGTTCAGCAAACGAAGGCTGAAATTCATCAAAAGGCGACGATCTGTTAATCGCTGAACCGCCGAGGAAATCAAATTACACAGATCAAGTACCTTCAGACTGTACTCCATATACAAAGCCTGATAATCATCCGCCTCAGATTTCAAATTCGAGATCTGATCCTCCGCTTCAGAATGAACCGTTGAGAGAAACGAAACAGCCGTCGACATCCAAGACAAACTGATTTCTGACGAATTCGGGGCGAGATCTAGAGTTTTCAGAAGAACGATTACCTTCTCATCAAATGACCTAGCGTCGAGTTGGTAGTTTCTGGGAACATGCTTCGATTTCTTCGTGAATGATCGGAAATGGGAAGATAACTGAGCTTTCTCGACGATAAACATGGCTAAACCTTTGGGAAGTTGAGATATAATCGATCAGTCAAGGGGACCTTGTTGCCGGTGACGATAAGTTTGAGTTGCCGGAAATTGTGGCTAGGGTTTCCAACGGTGGTTTTATTCAAGTCGATGATAATTCGTAGAATTACACAAAGCGTGTGAAAATAAACGATCAGAAAATTCTCGAAAACTGCGTGTGACAAAATACCCACTTTACCCTCCGGCTTCTTTCTTATATAATATTCTAGGTGCAATTATTGCATACACTATTTCAGTTTAGAGAATTAAAAAACTCCAGAGGACAAGCACTTCACTCGCTCTAATCGTTTATTGGTAATATTTTATCAGTAAAATTATTTAATAAGCATTTATCAGATAAGATATTTTTATTCATTTACTAAGTAAGATTTTCGATCTTTATTATTTTTTATTGAATAAGATTCTTAATTTTTGTCATGTTCATCCGTCAAAACAAATAATAATCCTCAATCACATAAATGTTTGACAAACAACCATTAATCTATAAAAGAAAGTCCAAAAAATAACTGCTTCTCATTCTAAAATGAATGTAACTTTTTCTTTTCATTTTTTTTTCAGTAAGAGACTGTTTGACGATTGCTGAATGATTTAATGCAGAATGATTAAGTGGTCAAAATGAAATATAATTGTTTGATAATTATTTACTATGAAATAGGGGCACTGAATGGTTAAGGAAGACTTATGATACAAAATCATTCAGAGGGTTTTAAAACCATTGAGACATAATTTTTTTTTGTCAAACAAGATTCACCTCTTAACGATTCAACAATTTCCTTCTAATAGAACTATTAAAAGGTAAACAAACAAACTCTAAATATTTATCTAATTCAACACAAATATTAATATTCATTATATTATGAAGTATTTTAGATATTTAATTACTAACAACAAAAAATTCCTAAAATGTGTATACTTGATACATTTATTTTATGAAAATATTTTAGCAAAATAAACCAAGAATATATTTATATTAATTTTGAATAATATTTATTGATAAAAAACTAAAATATATTTTTTGAAATTGAGAATAAAATATATTTGTGAAAAGAAAAGGGCAAAATGATAAATTGGGAAAGGGATGTGATAGGATGTTTGCGGGTGTCTTTTGCTTATCTTGTGGTGAATCCCAAGCGTGAGTTGGAGATCACATTAAAAACGGATTATTATAATATATTTTCTTTATTTTCCAACTAAGCTAGTTTTGTCGTTTACTTTGGGGTTTTTTGGGGTTGTTTATTTTTATCGACTTATTTCGGTAAGATACCGGTAATGATAAGTTTTTTGTGTTTGGATATAAGAAAAAAAAAATGATTATACCGGTTTGGCACCGGTAATAATAAATTACTTTCTTCTAACTTATTAACTTATGTTGGTGTAGTACTGGTAATAAAAAGTTTTTAGACAAAAAAATTATGTTAGGTCCGGCCCAAACTCGTAAATGATCACCTTTAATGTCTAAATGAGACCATCGTTAGAAAACCTGATGTACTCATCTTGACGGGGATGAGAATTCCTGCAAAACCGAGGCTAGGATCCCAAAAGTTAAAAATCCTGGATCAAGACGGATAACGTGATCCACGACTTGTTTCGGCTTCTAATATTTTGTTATTGCCTAAAAAATAAACCAAACTATCAAAGTGATCCTTGTTATTTTAACACTTTTGTCATACAACTTGTTAGTGATAAGACGTTGAATTTATTGTGTTTATATTACGGTTTGTGGTACATTAAGATATGATAATGGACAATAAAATAAGTGTATTATTAAGGAGCCGCTCATCAAACGCTTACTCGGTAAGCTTTTAACCGGTTACTTATCTTATCGAATGAACATGACGATGATTGAAAATCCTACCCAATAAGAGCGATGACAATGACCGATAGTCTTACCCGGTAAGTGAGTGAGACGACTCTTACCCAGTAAGCGCTTACTGGGTAAATTATTGCATACGATACCGTTTTGGTGAATTAGAATCTTACTCGATAATTAAATAAAGAGTGTTGACTCTTATTGATAAATGTTTACGTAAGTGTTCCCTAAATGTTTGTAGTCAGTGAATACTTCACATTTGTCAAATGGATGTGATTGTTAGCCATAGACTATGGTGATACTTGGAGTATTTTCAATGAGAGGTTCTTATAAACAAAAATTGTAGCAATTTGTAAGAACTATTACCGGAAAGAATTCTTTTAAGTTGCTCATTTTTTAAAGCTTTTGTACAAGAATCTTGGTTATTACTTTAAATTTTATATGAAATACATTATATATATATATATATATATTTATATTATCGATGTTGAAATAATATATGGGACCCAAAAAAAGTTCTCATTAGTCACTATTGTTATGGAGTTTGATGGTAATTTTAATTTGTTTAGTTGACAATAATAAGATAAAAGAAAGTGCAAAAAAAGAAGTTTCTAGAGCAATTTCCAACAGGTTCTCCACTATAGATAATCTCCAAAGAAAATTTATGTTTATCTCCAACAGTTTCTCCAATTTGAAGATTACATTATAAATTATATTATTAAAATATTCAGTACATTTAATAAAAAAAGTTACAAGAATCTTAATTCTTACCTTAGACTTTGTGTGAAATAACATGTTAATAGTTTTTTATACATTTTCTTTTGACATTTTAATAATTTTTAATATTATTATTGATCTTGAAAAAATAAATGGAAGCCACACCAAGGAATTATATGTAGGTTTTTGGTTTAGTTAATTGGGAATGATGTTACAAGAACATTCATTGGGAGATGATCTTAAGGAACATGACTGGAATAGGTTTAGGCTCATTTATTGTATCTATCCTTCAACTATAAGTTCATATAATCAATAGATTGTCCTATTGCTGACTTTTCTGATACACAAGTATCAGAAAATGGTTCACTAGTTGGAAGGGAAAGTTTGGATGGTTTTCTGTTAAGTCCTGTATGGATAAAACTGTTTGTATGGCTTAATATGTTTGTATAGATTGTGAAGATTTTTGTTTAGGGGTTTTTTTCATAGATGGAAGGGATAGGTTTGTAAAAAACTTGATTTTTTGCATGAAGCTCCTTCCTGAAAAACTTATTAAATAAGCCACTTTCTATATGATTGAATAAACTGAGTGTCATTAAGCTGCTAACAAACAGGCCCTACCCTAAGTCTTTCATTCTAGAACGAAGTTCTTTGTATGTCATTTCTTAAACTAAGTTTTATGCTTGGCACCCCGAGTCAACTCAATGGTTCTTCCAAAATAATGAAAACAGTATATAGATTATGCAAAAAATTCCCTCTAGATCTACACTAGGAATTCCAAAATAAGATGACAGAATGACTTCTCTTCTGTAAGTTAACTCCTACTATGATTTTAGCCAGTCTTAAGGTGTACCCAAGATTCTACAACAATACTACCCACCCACCCCTACCCCCCAAAAATAAGAAAGTCTGCATTGTAACCATGTGATGTATATATGAAAAGAGTAAAGAGTTTTTGTTTACTTCTTTGGGGGGTTGGTTTCCAAGTTGAAGCATCAGAGCAGGCTCACGCAGTCATGCCTCCGACTTATGTTGCAACTTCTGTATAAAACTAGGCATCTTTGGGGGCAACGTTGAATTTGGCTATGAAAAACCCGATTGTATCATGTGGGCCGGAAGGATCAAACCTCTGGACAAGATCTTCCTCACCAGGTCTTAGCCATTCCCTGAAAAGTTTATGAATATTGATCAACATCAACCACCAAAAAAGTAGAAACAGTTGCTTTCAGGTAGAGGTGCCACAAAACTAAAAAGGTTACAAATGAAACAACTTGGGTTTATCTATTCTACCGAAGATGTTCTCTCTTGCTATGTATATAATGACACAAATTGCCATTAAAAATCAAAATACAACAGGAAAGAGGGATAAATGTACTTACTCAAAATATCCATCAGATGATTCACACCGACCGAGCAGGCCAGGTCTGCCAATTTTTGGATGCTAAAATATACAAGATAAAAGAAAGATTAGGTTAAAGAATAATAATCTATCTATTAATTTGTAGAAAGTATAAACATTATATGATGTAATGAAGATCCTTGTAAGATTGAATAATGAAGTACAACGGTTTCTAGATGTGACAGGCTGCAAAGAGATAATGGCTATTGTTACGAAAATTCAAACAAATAGAACATACCAAAGGAAGAATCATAAGAGCACCAAATAGAAAAAGCATATCCTTTTGACGGTTCTATAAAATATAGATAGATGTTGCTACTAACCTGTTGTGCCAACGAGAGAAACTTGTACGTGTCCAAAGCATAACGAACCAGGGACTCATTCTCGGATGGATTTATCGTGCATCTGGAATTTAATATGCAGGTTTCAATCATATACAGTCTATGAAAGCTCTAATAGAGAGAAAAGAGGAACTTCCTCAAAAATGAAGTAACAGAATACTAGGCACATTAATATACTTGCAAGATTGGAATCTGATTGTAGTAACTATTTTCCGTTCATACTAAAAATAGATGTGGTTAAAAGAATCTAAATTAGAGGCGGCTCAAGAATCTAAACAAATGCAACTTCATATAAATGGGAGTTCAAAAACTTAATCATACTTTTGTGTTGAAGCTGAAAAGGGTAAGATAGGGTCCAAGTCAGTTGACAAAGCACGTTCGCATCAGTATAGAAGTGTTAGGCGGATCAAAAAGCTGTTTACTTTTGTGCATTTGGATGTGGGACCTGGTTCGGTTGAATCAGCTTTATATTTTCATATTTAGAGTACAAATTGTTATCTGTCCAGGCCAACAAGTCCATCTTATGCACTATATATTCAGGGTTATCCTAAACATATTTGATAAATCACTCTTTTAAGCCATAAACTTCTTTCTAAATTAACATTCAATGGACTATCGAACACAATGATGCAGAATGTCATACGAGTAGCATATATCTTGTATAGAATGGCATTGGCGAAGTTGCTCTATCAAGAATACACAGAAAAGCAAATAGAAAGTAAGTATGTTTTCTTACGTGGAATATACAATAACTCCACCAGGTCGAACTAGCTGAACAGCCTGATCGAACATTCGTTTCTGATACACTGCATGTCTTCTCAACGATTCTATCGTTTCCTTAAAAAAAATGGAAAAGAGAAATGAAATGCGGCATACAGAACTTGATGCATGCAAAAAGAGTAATGAAACATGAAAATAATCAATTAATGATGAAATTTGCAAACTGTCGTATTATTTGCATAGATCTTCGACTCCATGATGCAAAAGTCAGACAAAAGATGTCACCGTCAATTAACTCAGATGACTCGTGTAATTGGAATCATACACTTTGTTTAAGAAAACCGCCTTACCTCTCCAGCAAATAAGCGTGGTCTCAATCCAAGAGCAGAACAGGGAGCATCAAGAAGAACTCGGTCAAAACTGTTTGGAGGAAACCCTTCACATTTATCCACCCTGCCACCTGTTGATTGGTTTCTCCCAGGCCCATTTTTCATTCTTCGATTTTCTTTCCTTAGCTCAGCTTTACTTCTGTAACGACCTCCATTCATTTGTTCTTCATCTGGAACATTAGCTTTCTCTGAAATGGGTAATGTATCTACAGGAGAAACAACATGCACTAGAACCACAGAAGATGAACTGAATTAGATGTAAAGCATATGCTTAATGCAAATATAATGCGTAAAACAACATACTGGAGGCAATAGCATACATTGTAATTATAATCACACATAAATATTTGTATTTCTTGATACAAATATAATGTGTTTTGACATGTTAGGGATATCTTTATATGGGCCTAATGTTATATTTAGATTCAATGATGTTGCAAACCACTAGGAACTTTTTAGATTCAATGATGTTGCAAACCACTAGGAACTTGGGAAGTAAGAAACTTTTTACAATGGGAAAAGGTCGTATGGTACTAGCGGTATGCTACATTCCTTCATGGACATCAACATATTCATGACAGATGTACAAAAATTAGAAAATTTGAATCTAATAAGTGTGTGTGTGTGTGAATGAATGAGAGAGAGGGAGAAATAACTCGAAAGAAAGTACTTACAAATCTTGTTGTCTGTCATATCTGTCTTCGTTCCTTCTGTTGCAAGAGATGATAAATCTCCAGTAACAGAACTACCCGACTCTGCCTCTTGACAGGTTAGACCCACTCTATCTTCCCTAGAACCTTGTGTAGTTATTCCATTCAAATTATTCTTGTTAACAGATTTAAGGGCATCTAGCTTATAAGCTATTATGCTTTTCAACCCCAGTTCTGCAGCCAGATTCTGAATCTCCATCACCTGCAAAGTGAAAAACATCAATACTGGGTAATGAGGACACACATGCATGGACTAATACAACACTAGATTAGGAGAATTTGATGAGCATTTCCCTATTCTAACGGAAGGAGATATGAAGAAGACACGTGAACAGGACAGAATCGCACACAACCTGAGTTTTCTGTGATCTAAAATGTAGTTAAGAATGAACAGACCAATTACTGCATCTAACATACAAACTTATTCATATGGGGTAGGTACACAACATGGTAGAACTACCTCTTTATATAGAGTTACAATTATAGAATATGGATGATGAACTGCCGTCTCAAAAAGGGTCCTATCCTTTTTAGCATACAAGCTACAAGTTATGATTCAAGTAGTTTAAGATGATGCAAAGATGTAATGTCAAAAATATTTACCTTATTATGAGACCTATCAACTGCAATCACTGCTGCTTTATCCTTCATAAGGGAAGCAATTGCAGTTGTTTTTCCACCAGGAGCAGCACACATATCCAATATTCTTTCTCCCTCTTGTGGATCTACAGCAGAGATGAGTGATCAAGATTAACCCTCATCAAAAAGTAACAGCAATTATAAGCCTTATGTCTCATATATGAGATACATTTAAAAATATATAAAATAAAGATTTCCACAACAAAATTAGCAAAGCACATCTAATCCTTTTCATGATTCTTCCTTCTCAAAATCTGTGAAAGATATACACATGGTGACATAAATTATGAAAACATCTTGATATATAGCTTTTAAAGTGATTCATGACATATGCGAGTAGGGATCCATGACGGTCATGGGAGGCGAATATCATGGTTTAGACTCATTGATTTATTTGATTTACATATGGGAGAAGTGGGGATCATTGAGGGTTATGTTCCCATATCATTTGATTTGCACTTGAAGTTTGTTGCGAGTGGGAGAAACTCAAGTCAGTCATGAATTAAACTCTTAATGATATCTTTGAGATGGATCAAACATTCTCACAAGTGAATATCAAAAATTTATTTCTGCAATATATGATGAACTTCCTATTAATTTCAGGGTTTTTGGTAGAAATACGGGTGATCTGAGTTTTGAGAAGAATGTTTTTGTTTATATTTCTCTAGTATAAACGGCATACCATTAACATTCTGAATATCATCCCAGCTATGTTAACTTGAAGAGGAGCATCGATGATGCTACAATTCTGTAATGATTAAAGAAGCATTAACAATTTGAATGTCATCCCAGTTATGTCAACTTGAAGGGGAACATCAACGGTAGTATTATGATCAGGATTGTTATGAGAGATTAAAAAAAATCTTATTGGGATAAGGGTTGTTACAGAGTCCTTGTTCTAGTTTGTTTGAGGTCTTCATTTATCTTTATAACCCTAAAAATATAGGCTTTATTTTGAGGGGTCTTCAGTTATTTTATTGTAAGACCAAAGGTATAGGCCTTCTGTTGTCCCTTACAGTTGACTAAATGGAGTCTTCCCCCATATCATCAAACTTTAAAAAAATAAGAACCAAGAACAAGTAACTTTGTTATATTTGAAGACGCATATAGTGATCCTAGTATTACATTCGATTAGCTGCAGGTTAATCATCATAGTTACGTAGAAAAGAAAATACACAACACTAAAGTGCAACAAATTGTATAGATGGTAGCAAATATGACATTCACTAGTACTTAACCATTGGCATGCCCTGATAACATAGTTTTCCAAATACTAGCAATGTTAAATTGTTAACACAAATGGCACAAGCACAAGATCTTGGTAGCTTCCAGCCAAAAACAAATATATGGCACCAACATCGCTGCATGAATGAGAGAAGAAGACAAAGATATACACACCTAAGACATGCGCAGTAATAATGCTTGGCAGATTTTGAAGAAATATATCCCCCTTCAGCACATCTGCAAAATATTCAACAAAAAGTTATTTCCATGTAGTAACGTTTTGTTCGCACACCAAGAGTACGTATCGACAACATTTGTAAGAATTTAGGGTAAATTATAAAAGATGATTCAGTAGTAACGAGAGAAAACCCTGATCCACAACTAGTTAGATATATACACAGTAACAGGTATTCAATCTAGCACACATGATGTCGGAGCATAACCAGTGTGCACACACACACACATACACATTATGTATATGTACAAGTATATACGTATGCGCATGTGCATGCAGCCATGCACATGTGCACACCAAATTGAATTTCTAACACTTATATTTAACCTTTAACATATATAGTTTCATTGTGATCCATAAGTTTGATCACATGATAATTCATAAATACTGAACACCATTGTTCTTGTAGACCGAAACATGGCTACTTTTCCTCCATTTTGAAACTCTAATTCAACATATCAATTTACTTGTATTATCAAAAGAGTCATCAAGTTACCCCAACATCCCTCATTATTTCTGATGAACAACTGATCAGAATAGCCTCTCAACTTCTCTAACCTCGTCATCTTTGACTAAAAGTTTTTGGTTCGCATCCTCAGCGAGAAGTGGTACAACTGACGTCCCTGGTTTTCCTTTCCCTTGTCTTAGCCAACTTAGCTTCATCTCTTCCCACTCTTTTGTTCTCAGTTCATTGTAGCTCCTTATATGCTACAAGATATCCTTCGTAATTGATCTACCTCACACAAAATCAAATAGATATCCTTAATCCTATGCTCGGTCTTTAATGTGTGTTCAATGACTCACCCACATAGTTCCATTACTGTTTATAAGTTTCATCACTTGATAACTCATAACATATGGAATACAACTGCTCTTGTAGACCGAGATAAAGCTACTTTTCCTGCATTCAAACACTAAGGGGCTGTTTGATTTTTGATTCATTAAGTTCTGAATGTATTAAGTTGTTTCTAAGCATTAATCAGTCCGGATAAATTAAGATAAATTGTTGTTTGATTTTTGTCCTAAATAAATAATCTGAACAACAAAAATTACCATTTTAACCTTATGTTTACATAAGTGTTGAGATATGATAGCTTCTTTATGTTCTAACATTCTTGCCCACTGCCAAAAAAAAGACAGCAACAATCCCGGAGAATTTTGTGTCTTTCTATTTGGAAAAGAATTCCGACTTCTGTTTTTGTTTCAAAGATTATAACACTTCTCCTTCCGACTTTCCAGCACTATGGTCGTTTCTTACTTCTGGTCAACTTGGGGACTCTATCCAGATCTATGGATCTCCCCATCCTTTGACGGACACCAAAGAAGTGAGAGGTGGCTAGAGATGCTTATAACCTCAGAATAAAAATAATTTGTTCGATAAATATTTAAAATGACAAAATAATTTAAAATAATACGAATTATTTAAAATAACATAAATAATATGAATTCAACGAGTTCATAACACAATACTTAATAACTTAAAATATATTTAAAACAATAAAGTATTATTGTTTGACTATAAATTTTAATTTATGCATGTTATTTAACTACTTATTTTTCAACGAGAGGTGTGATTAAAAATTGTAGGACAAGGGTAATTTTGGAAAAATTTATAACTTAATGCATTAAGATAGGATGAGCTAACTTAATACGTTAAAGTCAATCTTTTAGCATTGAGTTAAAATCAAACACCTTAATATAACTTAACCAATTAAGATAACCACCCATTAAGCTTATTAAGTTGAAAACAAACACCCCCTAATTCTCATATGTAACACATTGGTACTATCAGAAGAGTTGGCTCCCCAACAATCCCTCGTCATTTTCATTGAACAAATAATCAAAATACGGCTTCTATTGTTCTTTAACCTCATCCGTTTTTGGGTTAAAAAAAAATAGTTATCATCTTTAATGCACTGGCTGCTACTTATATTAAAAAAAGAAAAGAAAATTTTTAGTTACCATCATTAGATTAAGACCTATTTGAAGTTGCCACTGGTATGCAAATGACCACAATTTTTTTGTATTGGAGGATCGCTGGTTCCTCTTTTCCTATTTTAGCCAACTTAGATACTTCTTTCCCCCTTCTTTTGTTCCAAGTTTAACATAGGTCCTCCTAAACAGATAAAGAAAACAAGAAATTTGATTGCCAATACAAATCTTAGATATCATGAAAGTATTGGCAATTTTAGCAGTTCTTGAGATGGTTTCTTGTTTTTGAGATGGCAATCACAAAAAAAGTCATGCCACGTACAACCAAGGTCCAAAATGGCATGAGGCGTGGCGGCAAGGTCAAGCCTCAAGCCTTACACGCCACCGCGAGGACACGGCGTTTTTCAAGGTGTGACATAAGATGGCAAATTTGTATGTTATATATAGAATTATATACATATACATATATGTTTTCTATATATTATTCTAATCAGCAAATGATATTAAAATAATGTACATTCATATTAGAAGAAGAAAATCATATAGATTATTATTATAAAAATAGTTTTTGATTGAACATTTAAAATAGATCTTAGAAAGGTAATTTTACAACTTCATTTTAATCGTGAGACTATAACATTTATGAATTCATAAAACTGTGAGTGATGTGATTAGAAAAATCTAAATGAAAGTGTAAAATCTAAAGTTAAAAATGTAAAAACACAAGATAAAAAAAATACTTTTTTTTTTGAAAAAACTCATGTCTTGTAAAAAACGTGCGCCATGAGCCACGCCTTACAGAAACTCTATTGGCCATTTCTTGCACCATATCGCGCCATGGCGGTCCTTTTTGAACACTGTGTATAGCCCTCCACAATTTAAAAAAGGAAAGAGAAGGAAAACATATACCATTGAAAGATCCCAATCTAAACACTCTATCAGTCATATCCACACCAAGACCTGTCAATCCCCGAAATATTCCGGCCCTTGACATCGTTGTAATTCCTTGGCCAATATATAAGCGATCTCGTTCGAGATAATGAGGATCTACAAGAGATAGAACATATAAGAGGCATTATGATTCAAGGAGCATATGGAAAATACTACAACAAAGATAGAAAGAACGAACTTAAGTCATATAGAATAAGTAAATTAAGACCCTCATAAGTTTCCTAAACAACAGTTATACAAGGACCCTAGGTTTGGATGAAAAGAGATTTTTGTTCATATTTAATGAAATTTACGATTGGTTTTGTAGCCTAACAAGTTTTGCAAGGACACATTGTAACTTAAGCTAGCAAAGGTGTTACAGTGCTTTTATCATGAATAGCTAGATTAAAATAAAGGTACCAAGTACAAATAGTAAAACGAAAAAAATTGTACAAATAAAATTGTTCTTAGGGTGGCAACACATCTCAAAAATAAATAATAATATATATATATATACACACCTTACATATGAAAAAATAATACTTTGAAGATGAATCATCCACGCCATTCTACATAACAGAATTACCCTCATACATATCATTAAGTCAACAATTCACTTTTAATTCGTTGTTTTAGTCGGTGGAAGGCGCGAGTCTCAAGCTGTTACTTAATACAATAAACCAAGCTTTATATTCATCTATAATCAGGCTTTTTAAAAATTCACCAACAATTCAACCACTTGTCTTTGAGGCAAAAAATCTGTAACCAACATAGTTAGAGCATGACCAGTCATTTTAAAATAACACCATGATGATGCCATTGATGCTAAAAGATGGCGAGTGGAGTACCTTATTATATTATACAATAATGAAGAATTCAGAATATATTTTAGCAGAGTAAATTCATGGAACAAACACACTTTCAAGGCTCAAAGTCACAACATATGATAGAACTCAATTTTGATAAACAAGATCAACTCATGTATCACATTTTTAAAAACTTAATAGTATCCCCCCAGGGCGGGGCAATTTGAGGCCCTTTCAAGGATCAAGGTCCACACAACTGAACACTTAATAACTTGCACAATTATCAACATAATGATAACATGTTGCTTGCCTGTCTGTAGTCCTTGTAGGACAATCCCACGTGTGATTCCAACACTCCATCCACCATCACGACCAGGCTGCTCAACACCAACTGAAACTGCAACAACATCCCCTTCCTCAACATGAGCACTGCATGCTAATATACCTGGCACATATACCTACACAAATATCACAATGAAACATGAAATTTTAGTCCTCGTTTTATATATTAAACATTTCATAGTAACACAAATCTGAAGTTGCAGTTAAGATACATATGGTCCCTGAAGTGACATCAGGTTTTATCTTTCTTTTAGTATATACAACAGCTATACTATCCAATGATGTTCTGTATTCACATTTAGAAACTATTTTTTGTAACAATTACTGGTCAAGAGAAAGATAAATAAACATGAAAACAAAAAATGATGCCATGCTCTAAAAGGCAAAGGTTTGCATATAAATCATCGTTAGAAGAGTAAATTACAAGAATGGGCTGGTGAGTGAAAATTAACTATCACTTTTAGTCCATGCCGTTATCTACGGTACTTCAACTTCCTTTTGGGTACAAAGCTAATAGGTCCTTCCATGAATGGATCTAGCATATGAGCTTCACGTGCTCTTTCAAAAAGGGCGCTTATGCCCTTTTGACGTGTACTTCTTAACCAAATCTGTAAGGGGAAGTTTGTGATTGTCGGAGAGCAAACATAACATCTACTAATAGGATGCAAACATGAGTAGCATAGAATTCTCTCAACACTTTGAATACTCATTAGCATGTTATTTTCTCTCTGCATGAGGCTTTCCTCCATATGTGTGAACTCCCACATCAGCTAAAAGGAGGCCAATTCCCTCCACTTTCACTTAGTTGATCTAAGACCAAACAAGCAGCCAACGATTCAAGGCTTCTGGCATCGTTAATAACTGAAGCAAAATATATATATATATATATATATATATATATCTTTGGACTCCTTCCAAAGAAAATATACCTCATTTTACAAGACAATGGATACAAGCAACATAATACGGGCTTTTGTAACAACAGTTTCTGGAAAATTTTGGTCTGTTTGTGGAAATGGAGGACGTATATTTAGCTTCTATTTGGCATGAGACGGAGGAAGAGTGTTATTTGAGGTTAAGGGTTAGATAAAAGTAAGGCTAAGCAATGGGTTAGGGGACAGTTTGGAAATACTAACAAAAACATGAGAAAAACAATAACAAGAATACAAGAATAAAAAACTAATATCTTTCAAATAGTCATAACCCACTTCTTGTATTGTTTAGTAACCAATAGCCAATAAACCTACAACAAAAAGAGAAGAAGAGGAAAAGGAAAAGGAAAAGGAAAAGAGAAGGAAGCTGAGAGAAGAACAAGAATGAGAAACTGGGTACTAAGTCAAGTTAAGCAATCATACAAAAGTTATATAATGAAAGAAGTAATGAAGAGAAATATGAATGCTAACCTGTGTAAATTATTAGAGTGAAGAGGATGAAGAACACAATATAATATGTTTAACTGATGCTTACCTGAGCACCTCGAAGAACTGCCTCTGCACACTTACGGCTGACAATTACCTCTTTGGGAGGCCTGTCTTGTTGATAATCATACTGAATATCATGTGGACCTGAACCTTTCACAAATACAACATAGTCTAGCCCAGGTATCTGACATTTTATAACAGCGCTAGTTTCTGTGCTGGAACTGTGACCATTTTCAGGGATTTCAACTGCTGGACCAACGTCCCGAACACCATTATGCTTATGACCAGTTAGGGATTCTACATCATCATTCATATGCAGATTCTGTGGAGGGTCATGCAGCCTTTTATCACATTGAATTTCCATAATCTTCTCAATAACAGCATCAGTTGTTGTTCGCAGTGTATTTACACGTATACAAGAGTAACGAGAGGGTTGTCTGACCAATTATAAGAGCACAGAAGCGCAAATAAATTCAAAGGCTACACAGCATGAGGAAATATAAACCATGCTTAAACCTATAGAAACTAAGACAACAAGTAAACGATTTAGGGCCTAAACTCTAAACAATGCAGTCAAAGTCATGGAGGTAGCCTAACAAACATTACTACCGATACCAATCCCTCTCTTGAATAAAATTGTTGCACTCGGGGCCTTAGGCAGGAAATATGTTTAACGACTTGTGCTCAGTCAACTAGGCCTCATACCAAGTGCAAGATCCAATTTTGACTCCTCTCATCACCATTCGAGTTGACTGAAATTGATTAGCTAAGAGACCAATCCGATGGAAGATGAAAACATATGTGGCAGCTACTAGAATATCAATGTGGTTTTCAGCAGAAGTTCAAGGATATAAATGAAATTTACTGAAGCTAAAGATCTAACAAGTCACCAACATGTCTAGAAGCTTAACATGTTAAAGAGAAACCCAATAATATATGTCACAACACTGCTCATTCAGACCTAGCTCAAAGATGGGAGGCAGATAAAATTGAAGCAGGAACAAGAAATGTAAACATGCAACTACACAAGCATGCATGAACATGTAATAAACGAACTTGCAAACCATCACTTCAGTGATATGTCACTGACCATCTAACTAGAGATGTTTAGATATTAGAAAACGGTCCATAAAGAAGATACAATAATCCAAAATTCAAACTTTTTCACATTTCTTATATCATTTCCCATTAGCATAGCAAGAAATGTGTATTATTTATTGATCAAAATCAGGACTTCTTTCTCAGTGGAAAGTGTAAAGGGATGATATAATTATATAATTTTATGATAGAAGATGAAGAGTGAGCTGGTAAGGATATTGCAGGGGAGAGACCACACTCGCTTTACATAACATCCCGTCCAGCTTATAACATAAACAACTATAATACTAATAATAGGGATGATGGGATCTATATAACAGAAAGTCCTGAACTTTAAGTTTTATCCCCTAAAAAATCCAAAAAGTAAGTTCACCCTACACACAACTTCCAGGCCCTTTACTTCCCCATCAAAAATCCAAATACCGCCATTTCCTCCTATCTTAAATAATTTCAAAGATGCCAATTGAGATCAAGAACACCTCCTTTCCCTCCACCTAAGTTCCTCCATGATTTTTTCGAATAAAGACCAGAGTTCTCTCATATAATAATCATTTACTGTTAAAAAACGAAGCTTCTAATAGCATCAAACTCCCACCACCCAGAAAAAAAAAAGAGAAAAAAAAACAGCCATTTTATTTGTAGATATGCTAGTACGCAGTCAATTCAAATTTTGAATAGCCTATTTTTGTTCCTGATCTCCAATATTTTCCTATTCTTAAACACATTACCTAGTTACATATAACTCCCCAAAATCTGTGTACAACAATAAAAGCAAACTGTCAATTTCGAAGCTGAAAAACACTACTCTCATAAGCCGAGTATAATGACAAATGTTAAAGTAAGACACTTATAAGAGAGCACAAAAGGCGAGTATAATGAAGCAAGTACGTTAGTGCTTTGGAGATGCGAGCAAAAGCTTCTGCTCCATAAGCTTTGTTGAAATGCTCTTCCACTTGAGGATTCCAACGCAAGGTTGGATTGTAGCAGTAACGCTCAGATGGATCCATCAACAGAACCTAATAATTGCAGTTGCACCAAACAAGAAACAAATCATCACAGTCATTTATCAATCGCATACACTAACAGACTAATCATATGAAAAAGAAAAAGGAAGAAATGATTGCATGTTCAGGTGCACCTGCGACTGAGAGAGTGTTGTTAGGGTGCTGCTGAAGCTCGTGTTTCTTCTGCTAATGACTTGAAGCAGAACCCTCCCTCCCTTTCTCTTCATTCATTCAATTGAATTTGAAGAGGTAAATGGAATTATTTCCGCCTCCGCAACAATTTGACCTACCAAGGTATTATATGTCAGGGGTTTTTTATATGATTTTATACCGATAAAGTAGATTAATCTGTCTATGTAGAGGAAAGAAGTGTGTTTCTTAATTACCATAAACATGTAGAAAAATTTTGACTTTCTATATAAAGCTATCATCGGAAGCTTATTTAATAAGTCATTTTCTATATAATTAAATCACTAGTAAACAGTTATGTATAGTTGACCGAATAAGATATAAGTCATATTAAATTAATTAGTATAACTTATAACTTATTGGTCGAGTTCTATTATTTTTCTAATGAGAAGTTATTAAAGATGCTTTAATTAGTTGCTTATATTGTCATGGATTTTACAACTCTTGTATAAAAAAAAATTGCTTCGTCATCATTTAAGAAAATAAAAATATGAACGTCAAGCAGCGAAACTAGATCTTAGCTTGTGTTTACAAGTTATTAGGCAAAAGAATACGTAAATGCTAACTGATCCGAATATGTAAAGTAAAAAAAATAGGATACAACCTTATTAAATAATGTTTTAAAGTCATTAATATGAATATATAACATTATTTCCTTAGTTTTTTATATTATAAATTCGAATTTTTAATACTGTTTTTTAAGGGTAACAATATGTTAAAACCAACGAAGAACAACCGAATCCACTAAACAAAAGAATCTAGCGAATCGTTTACAAGGCATAGAAAGTAGACATGGCCAAATCGTCCCGGCTCGACCTGGGACTGCCAGAGGACCGAAACCAGACCAGTAGGGCTGGTTATGAGACTGCGGTTAGGGACCAATTGGTGTTTTTGGAGGTTTCAAGGGACTGGTTTTTGGCCATGTCTAATAGAAAGGGAGAAGGCCACTATCAAAGCCAAACAAAATCCCACACGGTTTGCCCTGCAAACGAAAGTAATAAGCAAAAAACAACCAACCGACCAACACCAACTTAAAAGAAAAGGCAGTCGGGTTACACCACCACAATGCCTAAGGCCCAGAGAAAGTTTTAGCACGATGAGACAACCAACGAAACGAGGCAAGTTGAACAAGTCTCTACCGTCACACAGACTACCAAACACAAGTTTATTTCGAGAGCTCCAAATCGTGTATAGGGATATCCAGACAACGGCTATCCACACCTTACTTTCAGAGGACGAAGCAAAAATGAACTCGGATAAGGTCAAAACGTCTAAAGCCGAAGCAATAGCCCAAAGGGCGAAGCTGCACCACTTCAAAATCGTGCCCTACAACATCGAGATCAAAGAGCACATCGCACATCAGTAGCTTACACTGCCTTACAAACTGTAAGAAATACATATTACTATATAAAAAACAATTTTGGTAATAAATCGATTTAATTGACCCCGCCTTATAAATTGTAATCGGTCCCACTGACCGTACCCGATTGCATTTCAAAATACGATTATTATTGCAACCGATTCCAATAAAGCGGGTGTTTGAGATTGCTTATTTAAACTGCCTATTGACTTATTTCGATGTGGTACCAGTAATAAGCATTATTTAGTGTTTGAATGGGGAAAGAAGAAAAATGTTTATACCGGTATCAAACCGGTAATAAGGAGTTTCTGATAAGTTGCTTCTTTCTAACTTATCAGATTCAACTTATTAGATGTGGAAACCAGTTTATCTTTTTAACTTTAACTTATCTTATCCTCAGCTTCGAGCGACCAAAAGAAGAAAGAACTTTTTACTGAGATCGACCTTCACCTGCAAAATGGCAATCGATCTTCACCTAGTAAGAAGTCGGTAAGACCTAACCCTAATTCTTCGTGGATTTGCTTCCTCAAGCTTCTTCTGTTCAGCCTCATGCTTCTGCTTTGCTTTTCAAACATTTTATATGTTCCGTGGACTACCCTTGTGCCATCCTTTCTTAAAATCGAAACTGAAATCGACCTTCACAATCGAAATCAACCTCCAACTGCAAACTTGTTTTTGGCCGACGATCAAACCCTTGGTCCCCTGTTTTGGCCGACGATGAGGATCCTTGCAAATGATCAAACCCTTGATCCCTGTTTTTGGCTGACGATAAGGATGTTTTCATGTCATTTTCGGTCATTTTACACGTATAAACAAAATTTGTCAATCACTAAAAAACAACTTATCAACTTATTATGTTTTGGTACCGTTATAAATTAATCCAAACATTTTTTTTAATAAAACTCAGCTACACACCACATAATTTACTCAACCTTTTTATAAAAAAACATAAGTTGTTTTAAATAAGCAATCCCTTGAGACGTGAAAAAAGAATTGAAAAAAAAAACTTATGTTATATAAATCCCTTTTATGGGATATTTTCTTTAAAGTTTTACATGTACTAAAATGCCCTTTCAGTTTTTGTCCAAGAGGGTCCTTATCACATTAAGCCACACTGAATGAAGAGGCAGATGTCTCAACAAATTTGCGAGCTCCTTTGAACCATCTTTTATCACCGGCTTGTGCCTTGCATATATACAGTTTGCCGCCCGATACCGTGGCCGTGATCAGTTGGTGCTTCCCGCCCTCATCTCCATCCGCAGTTCTCGTCAACACCGACAAGCAATAGTATTGCTTTCCATCAATCACGGGGGTCGAAGTCTCCAATATGTTTGCCGTTGCAACCGCATCTTCTTCAAACCCTCCCTGCAGTCACCATCTCGAAACCACCATCATCATGGGATGGAATGCTAGTAGAGCTTGTAAAATGAAAACATTTAGCAGTTAAACTTCTCACTCGCATAAGAGCATCCCCGATGATGAAGCTGTTTCATTCAGCTTTTTTTTAGCAAAAAAGGTGGGACTGGGACCCACATGAAAAACTTGGCTTGTTAATTGTACAAGCAAAAAGAGGTTTTTTAAAGGGTGTCCCAAGCCAAGTCCACACTAATCCAGACTAGTTCCGACAAATTATAACTATAAGACATCAGTCCTAATAAATTTAGTAAATATGATTGTTATTTTCTTTAAAAACGAGTTTTCTTTGTCGGTGGCTTTTTCACAATTCCACTTGGCCAATAAACTTTCAAAAAAACAAGGCAACAATCCACAACGGAGCTTTTTTAACACTTTTTGGAGAGTTTTTTGCCACATCAAATTGTGAAAAGCACCTCACATTTAAAAAAAACCATTTTTCCTTGTAACTGAACAAGCTCTTGGTAAGCTTCTGGAATCTGGATACCACGTTTTTATTATTGTTGTTCTTGTTTTTTTAACCGCCTAAACTTGTGGGTCGTATCTTTTTGAGGAAGTTTTAATGAGAAAGCTTAAAAGAGGGGTTTTCGTGTGTAGGCGGCCAAAAAAAGCATTACAAAAGACTTGTCGATGTGGGACTCTAACACACCCCCTCCAACGAAGGCTAAATGGACACAAATTATCCCTGGGTGTCGAGAGGGGGTTAGCTAAAATGTCGAGTGCCTGTCCTAGAGTGGCAGCCCTTATCTCTCATACCATATGATAATATGTGGAACTCYCATATCACAAAAGAGCCCTCGAGGAAAAGGGAAGCTCCAACAATCTAGCTGGTGTGGGACTTCAAGAGAATTCATATTCATTCTATATGGAGGATCATCTCAATCAAGAAGCRGAGAAAAAAATCATGTATATCTATGCATATGGCATGTAACATAGGGAATGTATATCTTGGTCGTGATCGACCTTTAAATGACATTGTTTAGTTAAATGCATCCCACATACATAAAATGTGGTCGCGGTGTAGCTGCCCTTGTTTGTGTAATTGTGTATGGTGTGCATGTATATATGATATATGCGACATAYTGTATGCATATGTTTTGGCAAGAATGCGCAGTAGACCCACACCGGGTTTGAGCATTTCGAGGATGGCTATGGTCTATTTGAAAATATATAGAATCCCATCATATTCCTCTCCAAAATAGCATTGAGTGAGGGGGTTCAAAGTATATTAAATTACAAAGATCCAAGCCCGATGTGGGATTCTAACAATCAGTAGAGTGTATGACGTGCTTTTGCAAATCTTTTGCTGATGCATTATTGTTATCATTACAAAAAAACGTGAGGGTGGCATTTTTTTTGGCTAACTCTAGTGCTTGGAGCTAGCGGGGAGCTCGGGTCGGGATCGAACGTAGGACTTGTCTTTTATTTGAACAGATCCACCCCACCCCTTTACCCAACCAGTAAGTTTGTGTTATTACCGAKAATTGAGTTAAAGATACAAGATCAAGAACAAGGGAGTTTACCTCTGAAGCTGTTTTCCCAAAGTAAGCTTGCTTCCCCAACAAATAGTTCACCTGAAAATAAACAAGATCATGATCAACCCCAAACCATTCTAATCCACTTGTAAAAAGTTCCATAATCTTGATTCTGAGTTGCAATTCTTTTAAAACAGTGATCAAGAGAGAGATTTTATAGAAAGCCTAAAGAAGATCAATTTGATTACTTGAGAAAGGAACTCTTCTGGAGCACCATAATCAGTGATCGATTGCTTGTCAGTAGGAGTAATCATGACTGCAAGATTGCTTGTTGTATCGAAGTTATCTTCATATCTGAGCACCTGACCAGGGTATTCTACCTCCTTGCTCGGATTCCACTTTGCAGGTACCGACAACTTGAATCCCTCTCCGTTATACGCCTTAAAGTCTGTGTTCTTCTTCGGCTTACCAAATACATTTGCTGGCATTAACACAAATACCTTCAGGGCATATGTTATGCTCCCAGTTTTTATACAATCAGCAAGTCGATTTTGATCAATTAAGATCCAAATTTATACATATTATCAGATTAAATGATTATCGTAAAGGAGAAGGAGAAGTACCAGCTTCACCATATGCTGCATCGGCCGGTGAAACCTTGGTAGCAACAGCGGCAGCTCCGATAAGAACAGTGAGAGCTAATCTACGAGAAACTGATCCGTCGGTGGTTGATCGGCAGACGATTAGGTGGTTGGGCTTGGTTGAAATATGGCGAGGAGATGGGTTTGAAGGTAGGGTGGATAGTGGTTGGTGAGCGTGTAGGAAACAGGCTCTGGACGCCATTGTTGCTTTACTCCAAGCTTCTTGAGAGGCTACAGAGTTTGATTGGGATCGAGGGGGAAGAGAAATGATTGATTGTGTGGACGAGAATTTTGATTTTTGGATAAGGGCTATTTATTGGTGATGCGTTCCGGTCGGGCCGGGCGGTTTGGTCCGGAAATGACCTGCCACGTCATGTATTTAATTCATTTTTATTTTGAACACGAATGATTTCCCTTAATACCCTCGATACTTTTCGCGCCAAATCCCAAAACTCTTTCCCTCTTTCTAAGTTACAATTTTTAGTCCCTATGATTTGTCGAAAATTACTCATACAATCTACGGTTCCCGAACTCCGTTTATTGCATTCTTGGTTTAAGTGGTATTCATTTCATCATCGTGGTTTATTTTTGTTAGTAAAAAACTCATTGGCTCGGGTGACATTTTAGTCTTTAGGGGGTGTTTGGGATTGCTTATTTGAAACAACTTATGCTTTTCTACAAACGCACTTATCAACTTATTATAAGTTATAAGAGTTTAACTTCTTCAAAAACTTCTTATTATTGGTTTGTCACCGATATAAGTTATTTATCCAACACTCAAAAGTACTTATTACCGATGTCATACCGGAATAAATCAATAAGTTATTTTTATAAGCAATCACAAACGCCCCCTTAATAAAATAATATATGTCATGTATACATACACATGTACCCTTATATCCTCCTTCAACTCCAATACATAAACTGTAAAATACCTTAATCAGGATGGTATCACATTTGAAATAGTTCAAGCTTTTTCCATTGTCCCATGATGCAATGAAACAATAAATCATAATCTCATACATTTCTAAAATTTTGCTTTTGTGTGTCAAATATTCATATGCGAATAAAAACACAACATCATACATAATTTGTTTGATCAAAAGTTTTCGTGTTTTCATGTTTTTTATCTAAAAAATGTAAGATAATTAAGAAAAAAATGTATATAAGAAGAAATGTTAAAATACTCTTTATAAATTTAAAATATATTAAATTTAATTATTTGTGAATAATATATTTAATAATAAATATACAATATAATTAATAATAATAATAATAATATATTTAACATATGGGGATAGGTGGATCGGGGATCACATTACCCGCTCCTGTCCTCATCCCCAATTTTTAACTTACATGATCTCCGTTCCCGACTCTTGTGGGAAATCCAAGTCCTGTAGAAACGAGTATATCTGGTTCTCTAATGGAACGGGTCTCATTCTCATGCCTAGTCTCGGATAATAAAACGCTGTTTGGTCGAAGTAGTATTATCACGTCACGTCCCCAGAAGGGAAGGATGTTAGAAAGGGGACACATGACGATATCTAATTTGAGTGTATTAACTTGTTTTTTTTTTTACGAATTGTGTAAAAGGACTGATAGTGTCTTTTGCTCAACAGAACTTTTTTGACTGTGTTAGTAAGGGGGACCAATGTCGTAGGGAAGTGCAAACCACCAAAACTTAGAGTGTCAATAAATAAAGCTTAGGGACCATATTAATATTTTCAAAAAACTACAGGGACCAAAAGTATAATTCACTCCTAAAAGTAAAACCCTTCCCCCTCTCTTATCAGAAAATTTCCTTTCGAGGTCTATCAATGGTGTTCGACGGTTTTGGTGCTTCAATATCTGTTAACGCGATGCGATCAAGAACAAGGGCTGATGTAGAGACTGATTCTTCCAGTTCAAATAAACGAGGAAAAAATGGCAGTGCTTTTAACAAGATGGTATAAAAATGTAGATCGAATGTGATAACAAGCATATTTCAATGGAAAAATTGGTTCCGATTTGTTGCAATTTATCATCAATATCAAGTCAGTTGTGGTTCTTGTTTCAGATTTCAATTCACATGGAGAAATTCTTACTGAAAAAGTTGCAAATCCGTGTAAATTTTGAGGTTGAACGTTACGACTTTCATACTCTAGGTCAAAGGTGCAGCACCTGCTTTTAGGAATGAAGGATTAGAAGGATTAATGGTGCATTCTTCTGGTCGACATAGCTTCTTCTGTTTAATATGCATTTGATTTGTTTTATATTAATGGGTTATTACTTGTTCCCCTGTATTGATGCATTCTTCTGGGAAAAGGATCCCGTTTACACGGCTTTTAATCAAAAAGAAGGATATCAAAAGAAGGCTGTGGAGACCCATAATGATGCTGAAAATTGAAATAATGTGGAAAATGAGATGATGTTCCTGCCACCTTTAGAATTTTATTTTTAATGGTTTTTTTTTGTATTTTAATGTGTTACCCACTTGATGAACATGACCTGTGTTCTTAGCTTTACAGGATGGAGAATCAAAAGATGATGATGATTGAGCTTCTTCAATCTCAAGGAAGGATGGATGCAAAGGCTGAAGTGGCAGGTGATGATGACTAGAATCAAATAGCTTAAGTTTTGTTATTTTGTTTAACTTCTGCATTGTGGGTTTTAGAATCCATATCGGCTAGACTTGAACCAATTCTTCTATTTATATGTTGGACCCTCCGTTCTCTCCTTTCAAGGGCTCTTTTGGGCTGGGGTTCCACATATTCTCACGGTGGGATTGTTGAGATGATAATAGAAGTAGTAATACTCAAAGAGATCTTGACCTATATATTTCATTTTGAATTAACAAACATTTGCTACATCTCTAGCATGATTTATTTGCTCTAGGGAAATGATGAAACGATCTAATCTAATGCTTAAATCAATAAACTTAAAGCGAAAGAGATAACATAGCCCCTCTTGTCTACCAGTGCTGTGCTTTTACAATGAGTCAGCATTCTACTGGCCCAATCCAAGCCACCACTTAGTTTAAGCATGCTTACAAGCTGGCAGAGGCTTGCCACATAAGCAAAGATTGTGTGCATAAGCAGCTGATGAGAAGATGTTTAATGGCCTTCCTTGTGGGATTTCTCCACACAGCTTGTTTGCCCTGAAGTTAGCATGCCTTAATTGTCTAATCACCAGCAAGCTCGTGGGTATTTTTCCTCCGATTGAGTTGACTGATATATCTAGCCACCCTAACTTTGACAGCTTTCCCAAACTTGGAGGAATCGTTCCCGTTATATGATTCCTAGAAACATCCAACTTCTTGAGTTGAACGAGTTTCGAGATTGTACCAGGGATGTTGCCTGTGATTTGATTGTTGGAGAGGTCAACAGACTCCAAGAAACTGCTGGTTGATCTCAGTAGTCCCGATAGTGACCCCGAAAGTTGATTGGAGTGGAGATCCAATAATGCAAGCCCATTCGGCAGTAAGATTTCTGATAGATTGGCCCTGAGTTGATTGTTTGACAATTTGATTTTCTGTAAGCTAGACATCTTCTGAAAGAAACCCGAAAACCTGCCTGTAAAATGGTTGTCAGATAGGTCTATAGAGGTGAGCGAATCTGGTTTTGTAAAGATCGGTAGAAACCCTTTGAGATTGCATCCTGCTAAATGAACATCTGACATTTGTCTGCTTGTAATCCAATTTGGAATGGTTCCCAGATTGAACTTATTGTAAGATAGGTCTATGGACAGTAGAGAAGGGATACCCTTAGATAAGGCATCACTAGGCAAAGGATCAGAAAGTGCATTTCTAGATAAGTTTAGGGACCACAAGTTAGGTAACCGCGAGATAGATTCTGGGATTTGACCAACAAGCTGGTTGAAACTTAGAGAGAGGGTAGTAAGAGACTTGAGCTGTCCTATCCTGGGTGGGACTTGTCCTGTCAATAGATTGTTGCTTAAGGACAAGTCAAGAAGATACGGCAGGTTGCACAATGAATCAGGTATCTGACCTGTCAATCTGTTATTGGACAGGTCTAGAAATGTCATATTCGACTGGCGTCCCAAACTGGCAGGGATGGAGCCAGATAACATATTGTAACTCAAATCTAGATACCGCAAACTGGCCAAGTGTCCCAACCCCTCTGGAACAGTACCCGAAAGGGAGTTTCTTGCCAAATTTATCTGGAGAAGCTTGTTAAAGTACTGAAAGGTTGGAGGGATTGAGCCAATCAAGTGGTTGCCACTTAGGGAGAGGGTTTGGAGTAAAACCAACTGGCCTAAACTTGAAGGGATGGTTCCTTCAAGTGAATTATCTTCTAGAACAAGTTGGGTGAGATGAATAAGACCCGCAAAGCTCGATGGGATCTTTCCAGATAACCTCTTCATCCCACTAATCACCAAAACTTCCAAGAACTTCAAGTCACCTAAAGTAGGAGATAGGGTACCCTTCATGTAAATACCACTAAATCTATCAGGTGGCCTCTGTAACACCACTCTGGTCACCCTCCCAGTGACTTCATCACATTGAACACCTTCCCAACCTCCTCCACAACAATCTTTACCTATCCAAGATGACAAAATGCCAGTTGTGTCCTTCAAGATTCTTGCTTTGAACCCAAGAAGTGCTGCTCTATCAACCACAGAGCAGACTGAGCCTGAAGACGGTGTGGTTTGGGCATTGGACCATATGGAGCCATAGACTAAGAGAAGGATCAAGATTTTGAAAACCCATGAAGAAATCTGCATTTTTGATGTGGGTTATTGGAAAGAAACGAGGTTTTTTGAAGGGGAAATTGGGATCTTAAAAGTCCTAGAAAAAGGAAAGGCAGAAAAGGGATCAAAAGAGTGACATGGGTTTAAATCTATTTGTTCACTTAGACAAGAAGGTATAATGATGAAAAAAGTTGGTGGAAGAATCGCAGAACAATATGATATTGTTTATGAAGAATGTTTCCCTTATTTATAGGAGTAACAATGACAGGACCATAGAAGAATAATGGGATCACAGTTTGAGATAATTACTTTTAGCACCCTCAGACTCTAGCCTACGTTCTATTTCTACCCTTGCTTGTTCATATACATCGGAAAGACAACAAAGTCGATTTTCTCTTCGACTGTACCTTCTGGTGAGTAGGTACGAGTATGAAGTGAAAATAGGGATGGATGAAAAGCTATAAAATCGATACGGGGTTCTGTTGAGAAGCAATGAATCTGATGATTGAGGGGGTGGAATTGAAATTAGGAGGGAGTGGGGTGTGGAAAGTGAAAAAAGTTTGAAAATCGAGGGGGAGCTTGACTTTGAATGGATTCACATGGGCGTGGTTTCACGAGGACTCCAAGTCTATGTACCCCTTTGAACGTTGGAGCGCAATTTTTCAAAATCTCCTCCACTTCTTAAAACCCAGTAATGGTAGAATAGTAAAAACATGTTTATACATATATATATATATATATATATATATATATATATTATATAAGAGACATTTTCAAACAAGAACGTTAACTATTTAATATAACAAGAAAACGACCGTTAAAGTACAAAATCATATATGATTCAGCGCGACTTTGTCCGCGACTTAAGTCGCCCGCTTTCATTTTTTTGACGTTAATGTAAACTCACATGTGATTTTACATTAACGATTTTTTTCTTGTTTTCTTGAATAATTAGCGTTCTCGTTTAAACCCTCTTCCCTCTCTCGTTATATAATATAATTAATATATATATATATATTAGTCATTTGAATCGTTTATTTATAATTTACATGAGGTAATTTGTTTAAAATTTAAAGAGAATGATGTAATTTATATGATTATATAAGAATATTTTATTAATCATATTGGATAAAAGAAAAGAACAATTTAATCATCTAAAAAATTGTTAATGATCTGTGATGAGTGATATAATCATGAAGTATATATATATATTAGGAAAAAAAATGTAAATCTATTTCAACTTTTCCCCTTATTTTGTTAATCAACATTTATACTAAATGCTTACTCGGTTAAGCGCTTATTAAATTACATTTTTTTTAAGTATATATTAAATTACATTATCTTACAGGATGACTATAACAAGGATAGTCGATAAGAACAAGACAATGACCGAGAGTCTTACCTAGGTAAGTAAGAGCAATGATTCTTACCACGGTTAACTTTTATTGGGTAAATTGTTGTATATAAAGTCGTTTTTATTGACTAAAATTTTACCCAGTAAGTACACGATAGTGTTGAATTTTACCAGCAAGTGCTTACCGAGTAAGTGTTTGGTAAACGACACCTTAATTATTTTGATTTAAAAAAAATATCTTTCTAAGTTTAAAAATAATCACAAAAAACCTACATTTTGAACTTCTTTCGAAATGATTTTAACAAAATACGTAAATTCTATCCTTCATACTTTCATTGTATTAAATTTATTGGGATTATTGTTTAGTTTGGTTTTTAATGTTGAATCGGTTTTTATATCCGAAAAATATGATAAAAAGTTGGTAAAAAGAAAATCTGAGTGTGGGTGTGTAATGATGCATGTATAATAAGGAAGTTTAAATACATGCATATGTGATGATATTTACAAAATTATGGTTCTCCAAAACCGTAATCTGTAACATCATCTTTACATGTTGAGACCTTTGTAAAGAACGACTTAATGTTACGTCTTTTACTAATTTTAATATTGTGGTTTTTAGAGTAATAGAAACTTCAAATATGTTATTCCATATATATATATATATATATATATATATATATATATATATATATAGAGAGAGAGAGAGGGGGGGGGGGAAGGTTTAGGAGAAAAATCCTAAAAAAAAAGCAAGAAGTTGTTTTCGTTTGATCGAGAGAATTAATCGTACTTTCACTGCTATGGTTAATGAAAAACTGAGGAATATTCCGGTAACTGTGTATCTGGACGGTATGCACATGTGAATACAAGTAGTTGAAGTTGTTTCTTGGTTTTTATGCATGTGTGCTTGATATGCATATGCGCATACTGTACAAATTGTTTACAAATTACATCTACGCACATGTACATACCTTTTAGATAAACGGTTACCAGGATATTCATCAAATTTTCATTTTTATTGCGATTTTCCCCTAAACCTGATCCTATATGTGATTTTTAAGAGAAAAATTTAATTACATTACATTACAGGATATCGATTATACTTTTTAAGAAGTTTATATGATTGAAATCATTAGAATTTTGTTTAATACAAATTTGAAAGATTGAATATTTACAAAAAGGATTTATTAGCAATACAAGCATACCTTTAAATGTATCGATAATGAAAAACATATAGATTTTCTTTTAAAATTTGGGGGAGGAGAGGTTGGATACAAAGAATTTCAAATTTTAATTTTTAGTGATATTAAGCAAAAAACTCACAAGGAAAAATAAACCTAATAAACAATCTGTTTTAACCGACGAACGTTGTCTTATATATATCCCTAAAGAACTCTGGCGTAAAATACTTCTTGAGAACATGCAGAATACAAAGTTTTCTTCTTGATGGGGGTGGGAAGCCGATTTTTAATGCATTGAGAATTCTTGCATGTAGAAAATTCGGAAGCTCGTGTGTCTTTTATAGTAACCTATGTATTTAGTGCTAGCCTACATCCGGGACACTTGTCATCCTTAGATAAGTTTGCGTCAGTTAACCTGCTCATCTAGGTTTAGTCCTTTTTATTAATGAAACAACACACTGTTCAATTGTCCGTTGAGTATGGTATGAACAGTGAAAGTGGGAAAGGACAAATATACCTTTGCTGACGCTTTCAAAGAATATTCCCACCAAATGACAATTGAAGGATTGGTGAGTGAAGCCTTGATCCATAAGTTTTTCAAATTGGTTCCGCTTTGGGATTCACCAGTTGGTCTTTGATTGGGTAGATGTCTTGTTCAACCGCTTTGATACCGTTCTATCTTTATTTCGGCTTGTCTTCGATTTGCCCAAGACTTTAGGCTTGTACCAGTAGTGAATCCAAAAAATAAGATCACATAACACACATTTGAAGCTAATTTTTCCTGATAACAAACTTTTTAAAACACGACTAATTTGTATAAAACCGGCCAATCACAGATGAAAATATCATTTCTTAGAAAAAGAAAAATGGGCAATTTGACTTGCAAAGTGCAGACAACATTCTACAACAAATTTAGCAAACAATACATTTTTGTGCTTGGACAGGGGTATTTTGGAAAAAAGTGCATACATCACTCTTCAACCAAGTATCTATTCCTTCTGGCTCCAAATGCTAGTCTCTGCAAAAAACCAAAAGGTCCACCAAAAAAATCACTATGAACATTTCAAGCTAACATTTCTGACACCAAATTTTCCTTTCATGCTTTCTGGTATTTGAGCCCAAAGATATTTTCTTCTGGGTAAATGACAGGTTTGTTTATAGTTCATCCTGACCCATCTTCGGTGAGATATAATGGGCTCGTTTGGTTTTGGTATTTACCTCATGGTCGAATCCCTTTTGCCAACCTGGCCAAAATAGATTGGCGATTCCACAATTTTTGTCCACGAAAAATGGTGCTTTATCTTAAGGTTAAGTATATGCTAAAGGAATTGCATTTTTTTGCTGGAAATAAAGGCCAACGGTGCTTTTGGTATGATAGAATGTACAAAAACTTGTTATCCCATGTTTGGTGTGAAATTAGACACTGACAAGACCTAAGGGAGAAAAAAATGCATTTTTTTGTCCCACCAAAATTAACGGAACAAAAATCAGGGAGATGAGATAAAATTGATAAATTACTAAACCACTCATGTCAAATTAGGACCCTAAAACCTTCCATAGTTCTTTCACACGCCTACTTCACTTTTGACCGTCCAATCCAGTCTTGTCCACGTGCCCCCTAATGGGCTAAAGGTGTCCGGGACATGAGGTAGAATAGTCAAATAAATATTCTAATGATAAGAGTGACCAAAAACAGCTTACTCAAGAACACAAGCACCAAGCAAATACTAGGAATGCTAGTTATGTAAAAGAGAAAAAAAATATAAGTAATGGTAATTAGGTAGTACTTACAGAAAATATTTGGGAGTAAGCTTTTAGTCCCGTAAGAAAACGAATATAAGTTGGTCTGGTTGATCCACTGATTGGTATGGACCTGATATTCGGGACAAGGTACTCTGCAACCTGTACATACTCAACATATACAATAGCAAACCTGAGTAAGCCAATATATAATCAAGAAAATGAGTAAAATAAGTTGGTCACAATAATTTACTTATTTTGATGTCTTAATACCGTTATGGCAAGGACAAACTGGTCAAATCACTTCATTTTTGTCCGAGAAGTAAGACTAATAGGCAACCAAACCAAATGAACCCAGTGTATGATACCCAACGTTGGGGTCTAGAAAGGGTAAGATGTAGGCAAAAATGACTTTACTCCAAAGACAAGACTGATAGATAAAGGATCGTCAACAATAGCAATCAAACAAATATTTTGTTCAAGAAATGATACCTCGTCTGCTGGTTCTGCTAAGACATTAATGAAAAACTTGGCCTGCAATAAAATGAATTTTAATTTGCAGAGAGAAAACATGTAGATGAGGGAATAAATAAGATTAGTTGGCACAAATCAAACCTGCTTTGTGTTGGCACCCGACATGAGAAGGTCAGTTGTAACCATTCCTGGCTGCAAAGCGGATTAGCCGGAAAATGGATTAGAGAGAGAAAGCTCAATTTCAAATAGAGATTGAGAGGGGGAGAGAGAGAGAGTACTAGACATCCGAACAGTGACCACCTATGTAAAGTTGCTTCACAAACTAATCTTCTAGTGTTTGATCAAGATTTTACAGGGATGGAAGGGGAAAAGGCAAGGTGTTTAACACCAGAGGCATGTCATTTGAAGATTACCGAGTTAAAAATAATCTTTTATGCATGAATTGACTTTTCTCATTTTGGAGCCATTTTCTCCTGAATAATTGTATTGATGGAAGTGGGAAAAGCAAGTGTATTCGACATAATATCGTATCAATTTTTTTTTAAATTTTCTTATATAATCTAAAAATGATTCTCTCATATATATATATATAGAGAGAGAGAGAGAGAAAGAGAGAGAGAGAGAGAGTTGGTTTCTGGCAAAAATGGAGGTTAAGGTAAAGATGGTAAGAAGAGATTAAAATCCTTAGATCAATTTTAAATGATGATCAACGACCGATAAGTTTAAGGGGAAGTAATGTAATTACTGTAAAAGTTGAGAGCAAATTTGTAAGAAAATCAACATTGTATCCGAATTCCGAAGTTAGCCAAAATGTTCATGGTCCTGATGTCCAGGCTGTTAATCCTGACACCGATGTTCCTGCTGATGTTCATGCTCTTCAGGATGCTAATCTTGATGTCCTCGCTAATGCTAATGATGTTGATGTTCCCGCCGCTAATCCTCCATCTGCATGCCGCTGATATTCCTGCATCAACCTCCTCCGGTTGATGTGTTTTGAATTGTGATGCTCGGTTTTCTTTTAATGTCTGTCCTTACTTTTAATAACGTCTGCCTTTACTTTTAATGGATTGTGAATTATGATGTGCTTAATTTCCTTCGATGACTTCTAATGGATTGTGAATTCGTGATATAATATGTTTTGTCTTTGATTTGTAAAATCTATTCTTACAATATAATATATGATATCCAACTAAAAATCTAGTTGGATATGAATTATTATTTATGATATCCTACTAAAAATCAACTTGGAAATTAAGCACATCATAATTCACAATCCATTAGAAGTAAAGGCAGTAATTATTAAAAATCACGACATTAAAAGTAAACCAAGCATCACAATTCATAACACATTAACCAAAGGAGGTCAACGCGGGAACATCAACGACGTGCTGAGGGAGGATTACCAGCGGTGGGACATCAACATCATTAGTATTAGCAGAAACAACAAGATTAGCCGCCTGAAGAGCATTGAACATCAACAGGAACATCAGTTTTGTCAGGATCAACTAGGACATCAGGATCATGAACATTTTGACTAATTGATCAAAATTCTGTTACAATGTTGATATTCTTATGGATGTGCCCTCTTCAGTAATTACATTACCGCCCCCTTAAACTTATCAGCTCTTGATCATCATTTAAAATTGATCTAAGGGTTCTGATCTCTTCTTACCATTCTTATGGGAAGCCAACCCTATATATATAAGGTTGGGTTTATATAGGGTTGGGTTCGGGGAAACCACGAAAAATTGGAAACCTTAATAAGCATTCATTTGTCTGGTACGCACATGTGCATAAAATGCATATGTGCATAGAAACCGGGAAGCATTTTCGACTTTTATGTACATGTGTATATTTGGGACAAATAAACGGTTACTAGGGTGTCCCTAAGTTTTTCATATTTTTTTTTGTGGTTTTCCCGTGAACATGGGTCTCTCTCTCTCTCTCTCTCTATATATATATATATATATACACATACCAATCACTTATGTTTCTACTTAAACGTCCGTCTAATCCCAACTTAGGTGATTAAGCGCTAGAAAGAGGCAGTTGACTGCCTACCTCTGCTCAATGTTGTTAGAACACTATGGACGACACTAAGAGGGCATTCGGTTCGCAGAATGGAATTTGGTGGAATTTGAATCTATCCAAAGAATTTGACTTTGACGGAATTAGAATGGAATTTGATGGAATTCTACTTGGTGTTTGGTTGGATGGAATAGTTAAAGGAATTGGAATATTTGGCATATCCATGGAATTGTAAAATCTTTCATCTAAGGAATTCAATGGAATTCAAAGAATTCCTACATTTCAATATGTGAACCAAACATAGGAATTGGAATTTGGTCAAAGGAATTATCCATTCCAATTCCTTCAAAATCCATGAACCAACCACCGCCTAAAGTTATAACATGCCTTGCACAAAATGATAACCAATAACATAGTGTAAATTGCTTTCTACGTCGCCTCTGTCACATTGTCACAATTTTATTTAATGGTTCCAAGGCCTAGGCCAAATTGAGCCCTCCTAAATAAGTTCTCCTACAACATTTCACAAAGAATCGTATCAAACTTCTCACAATACATTATCAATACATTCACAAATAAACATGCAAATATGTTCACATAGAACCATATCACACTTCTCACAATACGTTCATGAAGAACCATATAAGAACTTCTATTCGTACTCCCTCGAGTAGGTTATCTCTTTTTGTATGTAGTAACATACTTCAATAACCGTTGTTAATAGAACTTCTCATAGAAAAGGAACCATTAAATGATATAAATTTGTATACAACATACTTTACACACAAAATTTCACGTTCATGCTTTATATACAACAATAACTTATAAATCTTCATTGCATCATAAACATGCTTTAAATAACTTCTTTAACATACACGATATCTTAAAAGCACTTGTTTGACATTCTTTGCTAAAACACATGCATCACAGTTCTTCAAACAACGCATAAACTCGTCTCATACAATTGGTTGTCTAAAATCGTTCTTTGTCTAACTAATCTTCCTACAAGATCATCATTACCATGCTAAGGCTATTTTACACTCTCGATGTTAAACATGAATCCTAACACATTCCCATTTGATTGGTCGAGATTCTATCAAGTAATACCCACCCCCAACTTCTAAAACACACTCATTTGATTGGTTGAGATTCTATTTTGTCATTTTGAAACTTTGTTAGGCCTTTTGGACCTAAATATAACAATATTTCTAAAGTAGGGGCTAAACTGCACTTTCTTGAAATCCATTTGAATCAAAATCAATATATTTCTCAAACAAGGGCTAAAAGCATAATTTCTAGAAACTTCCAACGATTAATGGACCCAAATGAGATAAACAGTGAAAACACGGGCCACTTTATGTATTTATGCTAAAACCGGTCGGCTAACCCTCGTGGCTTTCATTATGAGTGATCCGGCTAATAATAATACTAGCTACTGTAGTATGGAGGTTATTGTGGTAGTTTTTCAAACTTCTATGGACTCTATGGATGAAAACACAATAGTTGCATTTATTTCATGCTGAGGTGATGTATCCCCTTACTACGAGAAATATTTGCTTGGGTATGTTTTGGTCAATAAAAGTTTGCATTCGTATGCTAAAGTGTGCTTTTATGATCAAGAGTGTTTTATGTTAAGTAAGATGTTGAAGTACATAAAGATGTTTAGACCATTAGTAAGGAAAACTATTGATAGCAAAACGGAAGTAAACCGATGGTGCAAATGAGCACTGTCAACAGCCAAGGTCGTGGCAGGGGAAGAGGTCAACCGAAGCAAGGAGACTTGAATTGTATGTGTCTAGTGTTCGGAAGGCAACGATTAGGGAGTTTCTCCAAACTATGAAACCAACCACATTTCAAGAAGTGGTGGAAGTAGCGGGAGTGAAAGAATAAGAGAAAAAAAAACTAAGACGAGAAAAGAGACGGTATTAAGAGAAAGTGGGAAATTGCTGATAGTAGATCGAAAGAACAGAAATCTGAATATGGGCAGAAGGTTTAAAAAAAAGAAAATTCCTCAATGTCAAAAATTTGTAAAAGGTGACAGGAGACATTTCAGGAATGTCTGGTGCAGAATAATAGTACAGATATGAAAAGCCATGACACTTCAGACAGGAGTGTAATTCTACAGGAGAAATCTTGTAATATTTGTGGGTTGTCAGAACAAGACAACATATTGAGATAAGGACGGCGTACAAAAAGCAAAGGCTAGAGCCTTGCAGAAAGCAACAGAAAGAGAAAGGAAACAAATGTGTAATTAATGTTGTTTACCTCCGTAAGTAGCGATGTAAAGATTGACATGTTATTTCATTATGCTGTTAAGAAGTGTTCTATGCTGATTACATGTTTATCATTAATGAAATAAAGTTAGGTAAGAAGCTAAGAGGCATTGGCAAATAGATATCACAATTAAAAAGACAAGAAGTTATAGATGAGTTAGTCGAAAATGAATCAACTAAACCCTCCTATTAATGAAAAGGTTAGCATAAATTGGTCAGCCAATAGTTAGATTAGGGTATGATAGAAGCTCGGGTTAAGCTTTCTATAATCATTGGACCTTCTATCTAACAACTTAAGCAACATAACGAGTGGACTTGAGTAAAGGATAATTAAATTAATTGCACAAAAGAACTAACATAATACAAAAAAAGTAGATGTACATTAACATGACTCAACCCACCACAATCCCTATTTATTGTCGAGAATTTATATATGCAAGAGAAGCACAACATACCGACAAGTTATGGACAACAACATTGCTTACTTCTTGCATCTGCAGCTCCGCCTTCAGGAAATATTGAAGAGAGTGTTTGTCAGAATTGAAACACACATATACAGCTACAAGTACACCCACCCGAGGGACCTCAATTAGCATCCTTTAGTATGTGATTTACAACTGAAAGTAGAATACCAAATAGAGCAAAGTCAAAAAGGTACTAGCGGGAGATTTTATTCAGGTGCCGACCAGTTTAAAATGATATCATAGTCTGGTGAACTTCCCAAAAGTAGCACCTAAACCATCAAGTTTCCATATACATGCCTCAATAATTAGTACAAATTGGTGTGTACCTAAACATTCTTCTTAATATTTATATTCAAGGAATGAAATATAAGAAAATAGAAGTATATAATTTTATTCGATATGCAACTTAATCAAATATTTCTGCTAGGCAGCCTCATGACTGAAGTGGTTCATAGTTTCATATAGAAAAAGCTTCATAATCCTGCTTTAAAATAAACCACAAACTTATTTCCCCATTGAAACATGTTCACATTACCTATGCTTGCAAACCTTGAAAAGGTCTGATTTAAGTGGGCTCTATAAGATTTAAGTAACAGATATAAATGCTAAACTACTTTTCTGTTTTCATGTTGTCAGTTTTCCTTTCGTGTTGAGTATGTCATTAATTTATCAGATTAAAGCCAGCATAGCCACTAAATAGTGCCAACATAAACAAAAAAAGTCATATAGGAGTCAAATTGCCAACATAACTCCATCCTAGACATGTCAAAAGAAGCCAAAAAAGATATTTGTGAACATAAATTGATATTATCATGGTGGAAAGACACATAAAAGATTATTAGTGTGAAATTGACTTTGGGGGTTGTCAGTTGGGAACAAAATACAACTAACATAGAATATACAAAAACAAGTTGCAATCATTGCCTGTAATGACTTTGTCAAATGCACCACACTGCGCTTAGTTGCCCCATATGCAGCAAACCTGACAAAAAGACAATGTAAGAAAGATAGACCAGGCTTGAAGGTAGAAAAGGCAAGAAGTTTATCTATGGCATATAATCATACAATGGGGGCGTTAGGTAAATAGTAGACCCAACCAATAAATTTGTGGTGATGCTCTTCAAATTTGAAATCTAATATGCTGCATCTATTACTTACGCATGACAAGAATGAGCAGGCCGAAGCACTACAGTTTGGTAAAAGAAACAATAGATTGCCCTCCAAGTGCGAGTACTGTTTTTGCATTGCAATTGGTGCGAGCTAGAAATACGTTATTTGGGATTATAGCATTTAGTGTATTACTTTCAGAGAACAACCTTTTAATGCATTACTTGGGGAAGCATTCTGGTTAGAAAACATAATTTTAAGCACACATACATACAATCAGGAAACTGGACCAAGAAGAGTGGAATGTGAAAAGGGAAGTCAAGCATGGAGAAAACAGTTGAGCTTTATATGGTTACCTTGTTCATATAAAAATGAAATTATCATGTAGATGTAAGAAAGAAGAATTATCAAGCACACCTGGGGGTTGGTCTTCCATCGGAACCTGCTCCATCGATATTGAATATATGCCCCCCTCTAGGCTGGTTGAGCATCATTTTCATTGCCTATAATACAACCAATAAGGCAAAGTCTGACTGATGGCAATAAGAGATTTGTACAGAAAGAATTACCTCTCGGCAACAAATCATCAAACCAAGTGTGTTCGTAGTGACAACTTCTCTGTAAATTGAACAATGAATGTAGATATGAAATAACAAAATCATAATTCTAGTAGTGTTGAAAGAAAAAAAACAAGCTCACATGAGATCCTCATCTGAAGCCTCAGCCAGAGGTTTATAGCTATATGCATTTGATCCTGCATTATTTATCTGCATCAATCCAAAATGGTGTAAGAAAGCAACATAGAGGTATCTAGATTCAGGAGGACCATTATGCGACATGATAGGATATCTATCAGGACCAGAATCATAAAATTACTGAGCTTTCTCATCTGACTGAACCTTGCTCAGTTTTCCATGATAATTGTAACCGCAATTTCTTACATAACCTGTCCCAGTATAGATTAAGATGTTGAATTCTGCTGTTCATATACAGCAATCTTGAAGTTCATTTATATTGATTGGACTTCGCCCTACAATTTATTTACTTAATCCAGTTATACCGTTTTATCCATTAATAAACAAGCAGGCACATTGTTCTACTTCCTATACTTCAGAGTAACAACAAATATAATTGATAAGGCTACATCTAAGAATTATAATTACGGAAACAAATGAAAATTGTGATGAAAGCTCCAAGTACCCATATATCCACGTATTGGAGGTTGTCTTGTGCATATTGAACTAGATTTTTCACATCATTCCCATCCCGAACATCACATTTCGTACCCTGAATCGAGAAGGACAATGTACAGATAGAGTTATTGTATGTAACAGCTTCAGAAAGGAAACAATAGTAAGACATAGGAATGAAGAAAACACTGGAAGTATCTCTAGGTACCCACACATGCTGAACCCCGAGTTCCGCCCTTAAAGTCTGGAGAGCAGACTCAACCCGTTCAGCTGTAAAAGTTTTATTAATACATCAAGAAAACAAACACCAAGCAGATACAGTAAATCCCACACAGATAATACATAAAAGCCAAAGCATCATTTTTTTACTGCAAGTAAGACTGTACTAAAGATTGCTAGTTCTAGTATTTTATTGTAAACCTTTTAAAAATGACAGTTACATTATGCATGTAATAAATTTCTTTCAACAACAACATGATGATGGCCTAATGGTGAAGGCCTCCCGTTTCCAGTGCAAGATCATAGGTTTGACCTCTGAGTCATATCTCCTCTCCAGAAGGGAAAAAAAAAACTAACAGCTTCAATAATTGAATACTTCAACAAGCATAGAAGCACAACTTTTAGACCCAGCAAACTCTCCAAAACCATAAATTGCATAAACACAAGCTAGACTACAAATTAATTTGAACACCGTGAAAGCTGCTAGAATTTCCCTTCTCCCAAATGCTTAATGGATAATCTATTGTAACATATAAAGCAACATCTCCTAGACTCGGTCCTAATCTCAGATAAGGTCAGATATCTGTTCTTCGTAGCATTATATATTTAACATGAGTTTAGCTGTTTTTGAACTGCTCAGCATGAGAAAGAGAGAGAGAGAGTGATAATCGGATGCTGATGTTTCACATTCGAACATGCTTGTACTTACCAGACCTTGAGCATATTAAGACATTGTCACCTGCTTTCAGAAACTCTTTAGCTAAGGCGTAACCTATTCCTGGAAACAGAATTTGCAAATGAGCAAGAAAACTAGAATTTATAAATAAGCAACAAGTCATAACTAGATAACAACAATCATCCTCGTATAAACATCATGCACACAAAGGCAGATACCATTAAGATGGCCCTCTTTCCATTGATTATGCTTTCAAACACAAACCCCAACACATCTAAGTTGATTGATTTTTGAATTAGAAAAGTATGCTGTGGACTTCTTCAGCAGCCATAGAGCTGGAGCTCATACTGGTGCACTCTACTTAAAATCCTAACATGGATTCATTGCAGCATACATTGAACTATAATATTAGCAAATAAATATCCCCCCCCCCCCCCAAATCTGGATAAATGCAACACTTTGTATTTCTGGGTCGTCCCAAGAAATGCAGAATTTCCTTTTTTGACAAGGTTTTAAACCTACTTCACTTTACTTCGCCTTAGTTATCATTACTTTTAAATTTCATTTTGTCCTTATTAAGGGGAATGTAAGATAACTTGATCAGCAGTCAAACATTTTAATGAATCTAAAAGTTGCATTTTTAGGGCGACGGAGGAAGTATTATATTAGGTTACATTTGAAATATATTGACAAAAACAGTCGGCACAAAACCTCTCTCATTGGTACATTTTGCTGGTAAGTCGTACCTTCCCTCTTAAATTATGTCAACTGAAAACGCAAGAATTTTGTAAGTTCTCTTGTGAGTCAATACTATTTTCAGTTTGGCAACATCTTTCATCATACCGCAATCTTCTTTTTGGGTCAAATCAGCAGCTAGTTGCTTCACAATTGAATTCAATATATATGTGACAAAAGGTTTTCTCTCTAGGTGTATGCATGGTCTAATTGACTTGAATTCAACAGAGAAACCATATAAGAGGCCGTGATGAATAAGAAGTTGTTTAAAAATGAAACTGAAGTTTGCATGCACTACAGTGTATTATGACTAGCATTCCATTTTTACCTAATCTTTCTAGTGCATTCAGTGCTGTTGTGGAGCAAACTACCTTGCTTTCTGCATTATTTTCCCCCTTTCATCAGTGCTATATTGACTCTGTCAACATCATATGATAGTGACTCGAGTAATCTTGATATTTCATAGGCAACTAGGAATAGATATAAGCATCACTAATAAACATTAAAGTGGAAGACCACTTTGAGTGATCCATAAAAAAATTGTCTTATATGTATTTTACTTTCTTCCACTTTGGCGCATCAATAATCCTAAACAAGGACAAAAATCATTAGACTACAAGGTGACACCCTGTAGGACCAAAAACAAAGTAATGAAACAAGTTCCGTTGTTCTTGTTTCAAAGTACAACATTAAAGATTTCCCTTCCTGTAGTTTAAAAACCAGAATAAATAAACTGGCAACAAGATCAAGTAGCAAGAAAACCGAATGCAAGTTCCAATACCAGAGACTACTGAATAGGGGGTATGGTCACACCACAATTTTTCAAAGCTCTTGTAATACCAAATTCTGGTACTATCCTATTCAATCCAACTAGCCCTTCCTCTAGTTTTCTTTCTTCCTTTTTTTTCTTTACATGTGGCCCAACTAGTCCACCATGCAAAGCTCCCCTCCATATGGCTTGAAATTTTTTAGACCTTTTGGCAAGCTTACTAGGCTGTGATTCATCATGAAGCATTACGCCATTACCTACTACACCAACTCCTAGAAGTTGGTTAACGCTTTCTTTAGTTAGTCTTGATTTTTGAGAAACGGATGTTCGTAAATACACATCTAGGGTTGATTCATCGTAAAGACGTCTCGCATAAACTGAACTAGATGGAAGAGAAATTCCCCATACCATTATTTTCTAACAATTTGCATCCAATTAATGAAAAAAGAACCACAAATTCCTGCAATTCATATCTGAAAACCTACTTAATCTGTCAAATCATCAAGTAAAATGACTTATTTCCTCAGGCGAGCATCAGGAACGGAAAAAAAAACGAAAATCAAACCTTTAGTGGAACCGGTGATTAAAACATTGAAAGGAGGAACCATCGGCTGAGATTTTCCAGGGGAAGAAGAGCATATGAAAGGTTTTGAAACAAAGGGTTTTTGGTGGGGTCGAGTAGTGGAAAAACCAAATCCTCCAGCAAAGGATAGGTAGAGGTGGTGCTGTGGGAGAGAAGAAAGAAGGGAACGACAGCATAATGATGACGGTGAAGGGGAAATTGAGCAGTTGAATAGGGAAGAAGCAGCAGGTGCTGCAGTTATCGCCATTTGAAGATGTGAAAGACACCTTCTGAGCTCCGGTGATGTTTCGGTGGTGGTGGTGGAGGATCGATAACAAGATAAAAACCGTTTCCTCCCTCCGTATAAAAAAAACCGATCGTTTTGTTTTATTTTTTATCTTTATTAATATAATACCGTTTATATGTTTTTGTACTTTTAAATAAAAATAATTTTGAATATATCATAAAAAATTTAAAAAATATATTAATATTAATATCAAATTGATCATTTAAAAGTTCTCATTTTTTATATAATTTATTTAATTCAATTTTTTATTATAATTTAATTTAGATCTAATGACAAGGTAATTTATTTTTGGCTTAACAATATAATTTTTATAAAGATAATGATTCTATTAGAACTCAATGATTATCCTAATTATATTTTAGATTTTTTATATTTAAAATGATATGTTTATCTTATATTTGATTATATTTATCTGCAGTTAGTTATACTAATTCAAAAATGGAGCTTTAATAAGTTGTACTTACGCACAATTTATTTGTAATCTTAAATTTTAAGTAGTATTCATTAATAGACAGTAATTCATGCATAAAAAATAATTTTTATGAGTTTTTGTCAAATGCTTTATAATATAGTATATATATTTTTTTCTTCAAAAAAAAGTTATTATAACATACTCAGCCAGGTTCAATGATATAGAAAGTGACTTATTAAGTCAATTTTCAACGATGCTTTATATAATTTAGCAAACTTATCCATTCTAATTAAAAAACACATTCCTTTTATCTATGAGAAAAACTCTATCAAACAAAACCTTTTTGTAATCTATACATATAGATTAATCTACATAGACAACTTTATGTATACAGTATTTAATGAAAAACCAACCAGATCAAAAATATATTACAAACATGAAAATGTTTTGTAACACAAACAACAAATATATTTTGGAATGTTTCAGACGATTACACTGACCACTTGAATAACATTTCTCTTCCTTTAATTTAACAGGATAACATTTTCAGCAAATTATTTTAACAGAACTATAATAATTACCTTAGTTTTTAAATATAAAATACAACCAAATATGAAATTAAACGGATTAAACTAAAAAACGAGCATTTTATTTTTTTTATTTGACATTTATGTTGTTATATTTTCACGTTTTTATATATGCTTTTAAGATTTGCATTGTATAACTTTACGTAAAATACCATATGTTTTTTATAATTTGTTTGACAATAATATTGACTATATTTAGTATGTTTTATATTAAAAAAATAAATAGATAATATGTTTTAGTTTAAAGATAAAGTTTATCTATATCTATATTATATTAAAAATTATTTTTTATGCATTAAGTACTGTTTATTGATGCATATTATTTAAAATTCAAGATTATAAGTAAATTGTGCATATGTACAACTTATTAAAGCTCCATGCTTAAATTTGTTTAACTAACTAAAAATAAATATAATCAAATATTGGATAARTATCTATTTTTAAATATAAAAAATTTAAAATATATTTAGAAGAACGATTGAATTCTAACAAAATACTAATTATTACCTTTCTAAAAAAATTATATTATTAAACAAAATACAAACGACTTTATTATTAAAATCGATACTTTTTTTTCTCATAATTTTATGATACATTCAAATTTATATTTTATTCAAAAAATAAAAACATTATAGTTCTTTTAGTACAACATAAAATCGTATTGTAACATCGACGTTGACAAAATAGAACGAAACATTAAGATCGAGATGGATTTTGTTACATTGCACGAGTACCCTTCTAGTTATATTACAACATATTTGATAGAAACTCTTAAAAATCATTCTTTATGCATGAAGTACTGTGTATTTATATATTACTTAAAATTTAATGTTACAAGTAAATTGTGCGTAAATACAACTTATTAAAATTCCAATTTGGAAATTCGTATAATTAACCGCAGATAAACATAATCAAATATAATATAAACATCTTATTTGAATTGTAAAAATCTAAAATATAATTAGAATAATCATTGAGTTCTAACAAAATCATTATTTTTATAAAAAATATATTGTTAAATCAAAAATAAATTATTTCGCTAATAGACCTAAATTAAATTACAATAAAAAATTGAATTAAATAAATTTTACAAAAAAATGAGAAATTTTAAATAGTTAATTTAATATTAATATTGATATATTTTTTTAAAAAATTATGATATCTTCAAATTTATTTTTATTGAAAAGTAAAAACATCATATTCTCAAAACCACATAAATCGTATTATATCAACGTAGACAAAAAATAAAACGAAACATTAAAATAAAGATGTATCCCACCGCGCAATATCCTTCTAGTTATACAACATAAGCGAACTTTCACATAAACTTCAAAGGTTCACTTATATCTTTTATTAACATGACTGGTATTTATTACATATTTTATGTAATAAAGAAAGCATATAAATTACGTTACATTTAATTTACATTAAAATAGTTCATAAATTTTGATTAATACAGGGTATTCAAACCTTCAAAATGAATTTTATTGTCAAGATAACGTCATCATATTCATGCAAATGTCATAACTAGTTATCACACAAAATTTCAAGCGAAGGTAAAAACTACTTTATCACACAAATTACGATGTGAAGTTTGAGAAACAAAGGTTAACATTAAACTGCTAAAAATATATCTTATACTGATCAATAATCACCAGTTAACATAATCTAAAATTATCACACAGTAAACCATAAACTAAATCAGTAGAAACATTACACATAAAACAACTATACTATGAAGCCTTTGGCATTATATCAGTTGTTCTTGTTTTTTCTTTCTGTTTGTTGTATCGTCAAGCGAAAAAACAGATAAACAGTAATGAGTTTTCATAACATCTACATAGATAAAAAAAAAAGAGGTCTCTCTTAAGGGTGCTTAAAAACCCGACCAACTCGATCAACCCAACCCAAACCCAACCCAACACGAAATAACTCAATCCGAAGCAAATCGATGTCTAATCGAGTTGTAAAATTGTCAAACCATGGAGATTGAGTTGATATTGGGTTATTATTATTAGAACCCAACCAACCCAACCCGATATCATTTTATTTATTGGATTTAATATAATTGTTGAATTTTTATTAATATGTACATTAGACAATTATACTATCATGTATGTTCTTCATATACACATATTTTCTATATATTTACATCTTTATATAACTCATTCGTATATATGTTCAGTAACTGTGAACATATATATGTAAATTGAGGAAATTAATTAAATGCAATATACATAAAAAATATGGATAAGTTGTATCAAATGATTCATTATAAAAAATATGGATAAGTTAGAAGATTATTTTCATGTACTAAAGTATCAACCAGACCAACCCGTACGGATTGAGTTGGGTTGAGTTAAGATTTTTCAAACCACAAATATTGGATTATGTTGTTCAAATGTCTTCAACCCGAACAACCTAACCCGTTAACACCTCTAATGTTGATGTTGTAGATAAGGACTCGTTAGTATCCATATTATCCACATTTGTTTTTGTATTTTGGGGCAATCAACAAGAATTGTGAAAACTTAAGTTTGATAAACGATCTGGGCATGATCAATACCATGAATTTATACGTTTTTAGACATAATCAAGAAAGAAAACCATGAAGTTGTCTTCAAATGTGGGGTACAAAATTGTGAGGTTGTATTTGGTGAGAACACCGTCATCGTCATCATTGGGTGGAATGGTGACAATTATTGGGCATCGAATGCTTATTGGGATTCGCACTATCACTGAATTCCAAGATCTCACAACCAAAAAAGATTTCAAAAAGCTAAAACCGAAATAATTCATCGCACAAAATGCAACTATCTTTCTACTTTTCCATTGGCTAGACCTCCTATATTGTATTATGTATGGAATTCCTTCTTTCAAAGAGAAATGGAAGAGGGTTTGTTGAATGAGTGTGCGCTAAGCAACAAAAAGCAAAAGTAATCAACCGCAGTGTGTGATGAGCGAAAAGGCAACAGAAGCACCAATTGGAGCTCAACTTTGTCAAAAAGTTTGTGCATTAAGAAAACCCTTTCTTTTTCCATCAAACTGCCCACATCTTTATTGATTTTTGATTTCATAGTCCCCCTTGCTCGTCATTGTCAGTCGCGAAATCGAAATGGTGATGTAAATTGAAGGTTTGATTGCCGAAATCTGTAGATAATAAGAAAAAATGATGAAGGTTTCTTGTGGGTATGTTCTCATTTGTTCGTCTGCGGTTTGATAAGGTTTCTTATGCGTCGATTTTTGTAGCTTTTGGGTTGATTTACGGTTGATTATTGTGGGTTTTTGTTAAAGTTAAGGAATCTAGGGTTTTTAATTTGGGGAATTTAACTTTCCAATTCTGGGTATACGGATTCTCTCAATTTGGATGCTCAAACGCTACGTAAGTTCAATATCCTTTTTTTCTGAATCGATGCTTTTGATTTCGGAGATTCTTCTATATATATACACACACACTTTGCAAATAACGATCAAAGATTAGAAGAGGGTTTAATGGCTGCTTAGTGGTATACAAATAACAGTAGCTTATATAGCCATGGATACTGGGTTTCAGTATGATAGAGCTTTGAATCAACATGCTATATCCTTCCAAACAAGTGCTATAGCCAGCACATCGGAGATGATTATGATGGGTGATTACTATCTAATGAATAATAGGACAGCTGGCACTAGGTTTTCTGGGAATTCTGGTATAGCAAACAGCAGTTCAGGGTTTACACAACCTGGGAATTCTTGTGGTTCTGTTCTTGCTGATTCTGTTCAAGGGTTAAAGCATGATGCAGGCCTGGCTGTGGAGTGGTCTGTTGATGAACAACATAAGTTGGAGGAAGGTCTTTCAAAGTAGGTATTTTTTCTAAGTTTACATGTATATGGCTCTGTTCTAAACTCAAATCAGTTGTACCCATCTGATCATTTGCTATATTTGGGTGGTAAATTACTGAAATACCCTATTCGTTCTCTTTGAAAGCCGGGGATGAAACTTCTGCTATGTTACCATTGACACACCCATATGGTAATTTTGTGATTTGATGAAAATGTCCTATTCTATTGCATAGTAGACTACCCATGTTTGAAGACAAGAGCTTGAGGTTCAGAATCCAATAGAATAACCATTAGGTTCGGGATGTATAATTCCTATATTTTTATTAAGCTGCAAAACAAAATTTTGTTTTTATTAGTTCCACATGTAGAATAATCTTTCTTGGCGTTTGCGTTTGGATATTGTAATCATACTTCTTTCCTGAGAATTTTGACTCATTTTATATTTAATGTACGCATAGTTCTTGAACACTGTAAAAAAGAGGTCATGCATATAACTTCCTGACACGGGCTCGTTCTTTGTCAGTATTCTTGAATAGTTTCTGGTTTAGAGTCTGGAAGGTGACACTTTTTTTATATCTAACTCGTACACATCTTCTCGATTGTTGTGAACTTGTGATATGTTGTTTCCAAATACTCATGTATATGCTTCTAAGTGTAGTTTGAATCTATAAATTACATTAATTTGCATCAATTGCTTTCTAGTGAGCATCTGTTTGCTCTTTTTTTTAAAGTTTATGTACATATGATCTTGTATAATAAATGTAGATATGCCAACGAACCCAGTATCATGAGGTATATCAAGATTGCTGCCACATTGCGTGATAAAACTGTTCGTGATGTTGCGTTGAGGTGCAGGTGGATGGCGGTGAGCTTCACTCATTTTCATTGTATCTTGATTGCATTTTGTTGATTAAAAAATTTAAATCAAGAATATAGAATCTTAATTCTCAGCACATGCTCACAATTTTACTTTGTTATAGACAAGTTCAGTTCTTATAACACCATGCTAGATGGATGTCCATAACCTGTTCCTATAAGGGGGTCCCCGATATTTGGGCTCCATCAGTGACGATCGTTTATTTCTGTCATCCAAACTTCAAATCCATGCTTGACCGATATTTGGACTGGTCATTTTGGTGATTTCCCTTTATATATGGCTGTATGCATGGGAATCTGTAGTTAAAAGATTATTGGGCTTGACCATGCTTGACTGACCCTAGGCTGCTACTTTTGCTAGTCTGGGATGAATAACCAGTAACGGGTACTTATCCATGCAGAGCTTTTTATTTCTCATCTTGAAAAAGAAGAAACATACATCTTTCAATCCTCTTTGAAAATTTAACTATCCCTCTTTCCCGATGGAAAATATTGTGAAACATGACGCATGGAAAAATGGCCAAACATTTATATCAAGCCATCGTTGTCAGCATTGGGTAACCAAATTATTAATTATATAATGCCTCTGTTTTATCAAGAACTTGGTTCATACAAGTAGAAGCTTACCTGGGTCACGGCATCAACAGATGCTTTTGAATTTTCTTGATGTTGAAATGCTTAACAAATGAGATATTTGGCAGAGAAAACGAAGGAAACAGGATGAACCGAATATAGGGAAAAAGTTGAAAGAGAAGAAGGTATTTTGTGCAATCGTACACTTTCTAATCTTTCTGGTTGCCTTGGATTCCCCCCCCCCCCCCCCCAAAACCCAACTTCTATTTCAAGATTCTTGTCTGCACCTTTTTAGATGTAACTTTTTTCTTCAAGCATATCCGGTAGGTGAGATTTGCATTGTCAAATGCTCCATCGTGTATTAATCTGGAAATAAAAATGAATTTTCATTCCCCCGAATTTGACCTGGAATGAAGATTTGGGCTTGTAGGGGGTAATGGGCCCATTATATTCTATAAAATCAAACACTTTCTTTTATTTTCAATCCCATTAATTACTGCTTAATACTTTTAACAGAACACCCTCTTATACTATATGAAGCACACCAAATATGATTATCTCTTCCCTTTAATAATGTCTTCCGTAATCAGCATTCTGGTTGCAATATGTTGCCAGGATAATTTGGTGGAATCGTCATCAAAGCCAAGTATATCATCACTTCCAACATTCAATGTGGCTCCATTTTCTGTTACCATGAATAATCAGGTTCAGATTGATGGTATTACTTTTGAAGGTCAGTGTCTTATGTATATCTTAAGCATAATTGTTTACTTTTCATCTTTAACTGCATATTTGCGTTTCTGTTCAGAGTTCTGTTATAATTTTTCTTGATCTTTACCTGTATCCTTCTTTCTTTTGTCAATATGATTTAGAAGCACTAAGATAACCCATAGAAGTGTACCTGCATTATAGAACAATGTACCTGTGGGCTAATGTACTAACTACTAAGCGCCCGTTTAGTTTGATGGAATGTTTCTGAGGGATTTGGATTTCGTGGAAGGATTTGGAATCTTTGGTGTCTTTGGTTTGTAGGATTTGGAATGGAATTAAATTCCATTCCCATAAAAATAAATTATAAAATAATTAAATTTTAAAACATTACTACAAACAAATCCTATGAAATCATGAAATACCAACTAAACCCATGGGATTTCTAAAGCCCATGTTTGTTGGACCTCAATTCTGGACTTCCCTTTAAACCAAATGAGGGATTGGAATTGAATCCAATTTCCAAATCACACCAAATCCCAGAAACCAAACGGGCCCTAAGGTCATCAAAGTTGGCATTGGGGAGAAGCAACACACTTCAAACGGAGCGGTGTATTTGCAAATAATAAAAATGCTTCATAATAAGTTCCTATTTGGCAAATTGGAGTCTAACTGTACACAATAATGCTTGCTAGTGGAGGTTTGTACACTCGGAACTTCTTTTTGTTTCTATGGTTTCTATACATATATGTTTAGAATGGTAGTCCATAAGGGGTAGGTTCAAATGCGAATTGTAACTATTTTGAGAACAACCAACTATTCATGCTTTATTCATGATGAATATTGCGACAGATGTTAATGATGAAACTTATTCATAATGAATATACATATGAAGATCTAATCTCACGAACTAATAAAATCCTAACTAGCTTATTATACTTACTAAATGAAGGAGTACAAATTTATCTCTAAATAACACCACACTTTTCCCATTAATGATTTCTTAGAATTTCCTGTATGTTTACAGCTCTATATTTCGTTTTCCTTTTCTTATATGACCATTTAATAAATAACTTCCCAAAAAATAAATCTAGTATCTGGTTGTGGGGTATTTGTGGAGTACCTGGACTTAGATACTTGTATCGATAAATAGTTCAGAGTGGAACATTATCCTTAATATTTACAATAATCGAGGTTTTGAGGATCTTACTGATGCTATGATTTCGTTCTACCCATTGATGCAGCATTAAGTGGCTCAATAAGGCACTTACTGGAACAAAACAACCAAGTTCTTGGTCAGATCTCGGCTAATATTTCTTCGATGAAAGTAAGTGATTCTTCTAACTTTTTCACACATACGTGTGATATGATCATCTGAACATACGAGAGCAGAACAACTCAATCAGCTTTCTTAAACACTTGTGTGTTTGGTTTCATTTGGTCGCTAGTCTAGTATTATATGTATGTGTGTCTATATACACATATAGATGCATAATCACTTACAAACCCAATAAATCGTACAAACTTAGCATGTTGATTCACATATGAAACAGCACAAGTGAAAATGCGGTGTTTATACAGTGTTGTTTCGTATGTGAAGCGTTCAGGACTGTTTTGTGTGCGGGAAAAAACAGTCCTGAACGTTTCGCATATGAAGAAACAACAATGTATAAACACTGCATTTTTCACACGTGTTATTTCATATACGAAACAACACATGAAAACTGGTTTGTAAGTTTGTAGGAGTTATTGGGTTTGTAGAAAAAGGGGACTCTATACATATATGTTTATATATATATATATATATATGTGTGTGTGTGTGTGTGTGTGTGTTAGGGTTGAGTAATAGCATTTTATGTTTCCTTTATAAGCAAAATTTGATTGTCATACATGTATTGTAGGATTATGCATTATGTACTCTAATCAATTACAGGTTCGGTTTTATACCTACTTTTTCACCCTAAAGCCAGGTTCGATAACTATAAGCTAACTTACTTCTGAGCATATTAAAAAAGTCTCATTTGGTAAGCCATAAGCTAGCTGTTTGAAAAACTACTTCAGGTAGTGTTTCAATAAGCTCTAGTTTTTTTTTCCTTTTTTTCCTTCCAACCATTGCCCCTTATATTTTTTTAAATTAATTTTTCAACATGTCATTTAGCTTATCAGCTAGTTTCTACCAACCGTGACTAGTTTATCAGCTAGCAGCTTATTAGCCAACAACTAGCTTTCGGCTAACAACTAGTTTATCAGATAGTTTGCTAAATTTAGCTTTGGGTTAACCAATATGCATTTCACCCAAGTAACTTTGAGGGTCGAGGTTCAAGAGCCTTTTCTTGGAAGCTAACATTTCGTTTTTTGACCTTCATGAGCAGCTGCAGGACAATATCGACCTCTTCAGCCACATGAAGAATAACATAACCGCCATCTTAAACGAGTACGGGAGATGCTCATTAACTTAATATTGCCGCTAGTTTCGGTTCCTGTTGACTTATAATACTGCTAATATCGGGTTTATTTACAAAAAAAAAAATGCAGCATGAGGTATATGCCAGGGCCGCCATTACCCGTGTCACTAAACGACGATCTTGCTCATAGTATTTTACCTACGACAAGTCAGGTAACGAGGTTTGAGTTATGCAAACAATCTCTTTGCATCATGCAAGAGAAAAAAGGTGCATTCGGTAAACCGGACATAATTAATTGAGTAAATTACATTTTTCGTCCCTGTGGTTTGTTAAAAATTGTGATTTTCATCCCATTGGTTGAGAAATTGCGGTTTTCGTCCCTATGGTATCTAATCCATTGCTATTTTTGTCCTTATGATTTACAATTTATGTTGTTTCGGTCCCTGTGGTTTACAATTCTTTACTGTTTTGGTCCTTGTACTCAAAGGTAGGAATTTAGTCCAAGGATGAAAATAGCAATAAATTGCAAATCATAGGGACTGAAATCGCACTTTCTAAACCGCAGGGTCGAAATGGAAATTGCAATTTACTCTAATTAATTTGTTGTCCCACATTTCGTGCGACGTTTAGGCTGTGATAGGACAAGATTGACCATGACAACAAAAAAAATATCCCGCCAAAATAGGTGGAACAAAAAACGAGGGAGATAGCACAAAATTGGTAAATTACTAAACTATCAATGCGAAATTGAAACCCTAAAACCTTGCACATCATATATGTCACAGTTTTATCCAGTCTTGTCCAGTCAGTCTACTTACAAAACGCACCCATATAGACTTCCCTCCCCAACCCTTGCAAACTGGGTGACTCTTCTTTTTGTTGGTTTCAATTCTTGTTGTTGATTCTAGCAGACAATGATGTTTGAGGCATCAAGCGGGATGTATATGAAGCAAGAGCCAGGGTTTTGATGTGGAGATTTTCGACTCTTTTTCTGGTTTGGTTGCAAGTACAGAATTAAACCTGCTGTAAATCTAATAGGTACCACTCGTGTGCAAATCTGTTAGGATCCAATTCCGATGATCAAGAAAATTTGTAGAGATCCCATTTTTGGAAAGCTAATAGGTCACCCCTCACCCTCGGTTTTTGGTTTAGTACCCCCAACGGTCGTGTTAGACCTTGGTGTCGAAATAAAGATCTCAGTTGTAGAGATATCGGCTAAGTTGTTAGCAACTATTAGGATGACACTCTTTTCTTTTGCCTTTTGGCGAATTAGTAATTGTGTATTGTAACCTTCTGGTATTTAGTCTGGCAGATAAGGAGACAGACATCTTCGCAGAATATAGAAATTGTAACCTTCTTTGCTTGTCCTGCTTTTCTAGTTGCAGTCTTGAATAGATTCAATTGTTAGATATAAATGCGTCGTGAAATTTGGGATCTTATGTGCCAATCTTATGTTGAAAAAGATTGCGGTGAATGTTTTGATTATTGTGGTGGTTCTTGGTCATAGTCTTATTTTGAACATCTCTAGATTCGGGGTGTAATTTTTGTGGCTGAATGGGGACAATACATCATTTCTATCTGTACGATTAAACCATGTTCTGTGTGAATAAGCTGTAAGTAACCAACCCAAATGAGTTGTGCGAATAAGCCAGATAGACCAATAAGCTTAATTAAGTCGCAAGTAAACAACCTCTATGTCTTATTATGATTAAGCTTTTAAGGGGATTTTCTAAATCTGTATTCTTGTGATTAACCTCGAACCAATAATTTTATAATACGCTATAAACCTAAAAATCCGAATTTGGTTTTTAAACATTACATCAAAATACAAACATCATAATAACACAAAATACCTCAGGCATGTAGCTCAGTTAGTAAAAAGATGAGATGATTTTACTCAAATACAAAGACAAATCTTAGGGTTGATCATGGGCCCTCTAGCCTTAACCGTTGAGTAAGCCAAAAAAAAATCCATCTTACACTGGTGTCCTTAAAAGCAGGTTCTATATGAAGTCAGTTATAATTGTCGGTAATCAACTTTTTGTCCAAATAATAAATTAATAACACAAAAATATTATTATTTAAGTTGTGGTGGTTATTTGTATTGAATATTGGATATGGACATTGGTTTGTGATAGTGGCCATAATTAGAGGCTAATAAACATTACCACTAACTCATGTCTATGTCTCATTATCCTAATCAAAACACCTTTAATGGTTGCTTATTAATTAATTGCAAATCAAAAACCATATTAAATAAAATTTAAATAAATATTTAACAACATATCTAATTTCTGAATTTATTTTTTCATCGTCACATTATTTTAAATTGACCGACCATATTATTTAATTTAACTAAAATCACCGTAAAACAACGTAATTAATATGATGAAATTTGTTTCCCCCTAAATATTTAATCAAAAAACATACGTAACCAGTTACTGAATGATAAATTTTCAAGATCAGATATTTAAGGTTCGAATTAAATACAACCGTCATTATCAGTAGAATTATTCTACCAAAAGATTTTTACGATAATTTATTATCCATAAAATATATATTATAAATAAATATAAAATC